GTGCGGTCGGCGGGGACGCCGGGCTCGGAAAAGGCGGCCAGGCGCGCCACGTCGTGGTGGGCGCGCACGCCCAGGGGCAGCGGCAGCAGCCGGTACTGCAGCGTGGCGGGGCCCTCGGCGTCGCAGTCCTGCGAGCAGCGGCGGAAGCAGGTCCTGTGGGCCACGGACGGACGGACAGACAGACAGAGCGACGCGGTCGCCACCCGGGTCCACGCGGTCCCGCCTGCGCCCCCGCCCCGCGTGCCCTCCCTGCGAGCGCCAGGCCGGAGGGAGCCAGCGAGGTGCCCGTCCCTCTCGGCCCGAGTCTTCGCCAGGCAGCCGGGCGGCGACAGAGCCAGCGCCCCCGGGCCCGCGGTGGCTGAGTCACCGCTGTTTTTGCAGAGCGCCGGGCAGAGGCTCAGAGACGCGTGCTCGGCCCTGCAGGGGCACCCACGGCTCCACCAGCTGCGGCTGCCGGCTTGTAAGGTCAGGGCGACGCCTTGTCCCGGAAATCCCCCCTCCAGCAGCTCCTGGCTCCCGGGAGTTTCTGTGACTTTTTTTTAATGGCGCTGGGATCAAACCCAGAGGGATGGCACCACTGAGCTACATCTCCAGTCCTTTTTATTTTTTGAGACAAGGTCTTGCTAAATTGCCCCGGCGGGGCTCGAACTCCCGACCCTCCTGCCTCAGCCTCCCTCGGTCCTGGGATCACAGGCTTGGGCCCCAGCCCGGCTCTGTGCCGCTCTCTGTGTGAGAACCTGCAGCGCCTGCGAGGGCGTGGAGGAAACCTTGTGCGCTCCTGTGTGAGTGCTGAGGTTTGGGGTGCATCTCTGGTTTCTGTGGCTGGGGCCTGGGGGGTGTGTCCCCCGCTTTCTGCCAACTCTGGCCTGCCTGTGTCCATGTCCCACGCGCGCCCGCCCTGTCACCATGTGGGAACACAGCGGCGGGCTGGTGCACACTGCCACACGGAGCAGGGCGGGAGCTGCCCGGCTCCTGCGGATGAGGGGTGCCCGCCCCAGCCGGCCTGCCTACCCGGGGCTGGTGCCCTGCCGGTACGTGTCGGGGCAGGGCGTGTCCACGCACTGGAAGCCGCCGCGGGTGTTGAAGCACATTTGGCCCGGCTCACACTGGATGCCATCCTCCTCGCACTCATTGATGTCTGGGTGGCGATGTCAGGCGGGCGAAGGTGGGAACCAGAGAAGGCGTGGGTGAGGGGCGTGGGAGAGCAAGGCCTTCCCAGGTGGGCAGCGCCCGTCCTCAGCAGCCTGGCCTCAGCCCAGCCTGAGGCCCTCGGCACCCTCCCCACCGTCCCGGGGTTGGGACTTGGCAGGGCGCGATAGTGGCCCCGTGAGGACGCTGGGAACCTGGTGCCCAGCTGGACAGCCGGGAGAGAGTGGGGTTGCACCAGGGACTGGCTTCCCCTCCCGCCCAGCGTGCCCAAGGCCCATGGCAGAGCATAAGGGTTGGCTCTGAGTCCCATTTTGCTTGGCAGGAAGCAGCAGGGAAGGTGAGGGCCAGAGGGTGGCACGACAGCCACCTGCAGCGGCTGTGCCCACCCTCCTGGGTCTCCCCCAGCCGTGCAAGGGGTGCTGGGTTCCCCTGCTTCACCAGCAAGGAAGCTGAGGCTCAGGGACGCCAGAGGGTTGTTTGGGGACACCCAGGCCGGATCAGCCCTCCTGCCTGGCGGGGGCGCCCAGGACCTCTCTGGAGACGGCCAAGACCCCGCCGCGTGTGGGCGCTGCCCACTCACCCTGGCAGTTCTTCCCGCTGGGCAGGAGGCGGTAGCCAGCAGGACAGAGGCACTGGTAGCTGCCCTCGGTGTTCCGGCAGGTGTGTTGGCACAGGCTGCGCACCTGGCACTCATCAAGGTCTGGTGGGCCATGGGGTAGGGACAGGGTAGAGAGACCAAGTCACGCACTTGCTGTGGGCCTCCTGCCCACCTGCCAGCTCCTGCCTACCACAGCCCACTCCTGGCCTGGCACCCAGCCCCAGCTGCAGGGCTTGGAGAGCCCCTGGGCTTGGCGGCAGTGGACACACCACCCTGCCTCGGCCTCTGTCACCAAGGACCAGGGCAGAGACCACCATATGCCAGGCAGAGCCACCTCTACTTTACCCCTCTCAGCCCCAGCAGCCATCCACCTGCCCATGAGCTCTTGGGGGTGCCCATGCCCAGCCCAGGGGCCCAAGATAACACAGGAGTGCATTACTCTGTGACGGGGCCCGGCCTTACCCACGCAGGCGCCGTTCTGCCGGATGAAGCCAGGTGGGCACCAGGCCCGGCCCACACTGCTCAGGGCTCTGGGTCCCGACTGCCGGGAGACCCAGGCATGGTAAGAGCCACTGGGGATGGGGGCCCGGGGCCGTGGCCAGGGCACCAAGGGGCCCTGGTGGCTGACAACGGTCACATTCTGTCTCCTCCGCTCAAGTGGGATACAGGCCTTGCCGTCGCGGAGGAGGGCATGGCCCGGTGGACACAGACAGCGGTAGCTACCCTGGAGGTTGTGGCACTGGTAGGCACAGGGCTTAGGCAGCTGCTGGCACTCATTGACGTCTGCAGAGAGAAGCCAGGTGGCACCCAGCGCAGCTCAAGGCATGCTGCTGCCTGCGGCCTCTATTGCTTAGGCCGCCTTTGAACCTGGTGCCTCACATGCTGTGTAGGCTGCCCCTGCAGCAGCCCTCTGTGGTACCCCTAGGCTCCTCCGGGCCTCCAAGCCTATGCCAGGAGGCCCCCTCCCCAGCTCCCCACCCAACTGCCCCAGGTGGTCACTTGGGTCCCTTCTACTCCTTGTGCCCCTCTAGGGCGCACCCCATTGACACCACCTTTCTGCCCCTCTTGGCCTTGAGGGAAGGTGGCCTGCAGGGTAAAGCATAGGTCCAGGGCCTGCTGGGTTTCAGAAGTCACCAGCACCTTGGCCACAAACACCACTGCCCCACGGCCAGGGGCCACCACCAGGGCCCTGCGAGGGTCAGGCGTCCCGTACCTAGGCAGGGCAGGCCAGGGCCCTGGGTCCGGTACCCCCTGGGGCAGCTGCAGCGGTGGCCGCCTGCGGTGTTCTCACAGAGCTGCTCGTGGTGACACTCATCCAGCTGCTCCAGGCATTCATCCACATCTGGGGAGTCGGGGCGGGGCTTAGCCCAGAGCCTCTGCCAGAGGGAGACCCCACTTCCGGGCCTCACCGCGCCCCCTCCCCAAGCATTCGGGGCTCTGGGGCCATAGGAAAAGAAGGGGCTTAAAGATGGGTTTTTTGTTTTTTTTGGTTTTTTTGGTACGGGGAATCAAAGTCAGGACCTTGCGCTTGCCAGGCAGGCACTTGTGCCCCTGAGCTACATCCCCAGCCCCGAAAGGTGGCCTTGGAGAGAGTGCCAGGTTCTGGCAAGTGGTCTTCCCTCTCTGGGCCTCAGCTTCCCTGTCTGTAAAGAGGGCTGGGCCGGGCTTTCTTCTTGGGGTTGAGCGAGGACGGAATCAGACAATGCATTTGCAGAGCTCAGGGCCGGGGTGTGCAGGAAAGGGCTAAACAAGAAAGGAAGAAGCGGCCGTGCAGCTCGGACAGAAGAGCCCTAAGCTCGGCGTGGCCCGAGGCCTGAGAGGAGGGCTGGCTGCAGGTCTGAGCCCCAGGTCTCTGCGCTGCCCTGCCACGGCGCCCCGTCTCTGAGGGGTCACAGAATGGACCCCAAAGGCATCACTGAGGGGTGCCCCTGATCCCAGGTGGCTGCCAGGGTGAGAAGGGTTCTGAGGCCGTCACTAGGCTGGCCCATGTCACTCGGGCTAGCCTGTGCCCCTTCGTCAAACGCAGGACAGAGGGCACTGGAGCTGCCAGGACTGGACCCAGCGAGCTGAGGTCAGACCTCGGGGCCAGCTCGGGTCTCCTGGCCCCCTGTGTGCCTTCGTCCTGCCAAGGGTTCCTTCTGATCCCCCAAGAGCCCAGCATCCCGGTGACACACACAGCCCTATCCACTGAACTGGCAGGCCCTAGTTTCCTGGGAGCGTGTCCTGGCCACCCCGCGCCTGTCACCTTCGCAGCCGGCCCCGTCAGCCGCCACCCGGAAGCCGGGCCCGCAGTCAGGGAGGCAGCGGTAGGAGCCGAGCAGGTTCACACAGCGCTGTCCCTCTTGGCAGAGGTGGGTGTCCCACGCACATTCGTCCACGTCTGGGGACAGACACGGCAGGGGCTGCCTGAACACAGGTCCCCGGGGCTCCCTGCACCCCTCCCAGCCCGGCCTGCACGGGCGAGCTTGGTCCCAGGCCGGGAGCCCCCGCATGAATGTCCTGCCTGACAGCTCCGTGTCACTACACTCCACCTCGCACCTCTGCAGTTCCTCTCATCCCAGGCCAGGGTGAAGCCGGCCGGACAGGAGCAGGAGAAGCGGCCGGGCACGTTGTCACAGGAGTGGGAGCAGGGGCTGGGGCCGCCCGTGCACTCGTCCCTGTCTGCAGGGGGACAGAGCTGTGGTTCTTGCTCACGGACCTTCCTGCCAGCTGGTGGGGACAGAGCATGCATCCCTGCCCGGGGAGGGGGGCTGCTCACCCACACAAAACTCTCCTCGGGCGTCCGGCTCAAAGCCCTCAGGGCACCCCACCTCATGCTCCTCTGCAAGGCAAAGGGACAGGCTCTAAGGACACGGTGGCCCCGGTCATAGCATCCTCCCGGCCCGGAGCCCAGCCCCGGCCTGAGCCAGAAAGGCAGGGAACCGAGCCCCGCCCACGCCTGTGGGAGGTGGTGGCCACAGGACGTGCCCGGTGTGTCTCTGTGCCAGGGGCTCCCGGCAGGGCAGGGCAGCAGGCTGGGCAGACTCAGGAAAAACCCCTGAAGTAGAAAGCAGGGGGTCACGTGTCCAAACTGCCGTCATGAGGACCCAGCGGGTGGGCACAGAGGGTGGGCACGGGGTCAGGCAGGTCAGGGATGGGCAGCAAGGATGAAGGTGGCAGCGAGACTATGGCAAGGGACAGGGTTCTGGAGCCTGGGAGGAGATGCCACCTCTTAAGTAAGCCTAAGGACAGCCGCCTGGATGCAGGGGACCCAGAGCCCGGATGAGGCTTCAGAGGTGGCGCGCTGTGGGACACCCCACCCACCCACTGTGCAGGTGGAAACACCTAGCCCGGGGACCGGGACACAGCCCCCCGAGGTCCCCAGCCAAAAAGCGATAGGAACAGGGTCTGCCTGGCCACCGCGCTGCGCTGGCCCACTGTGCCTCATCCAGCATGAGGCCTCGGGGCCTCTGAGGAGGAGCAACCCTCGCTGAGACCGCAGGGTTGCGGGGTCACAGGGGTTCAAGGAGGCTCCTGGGCCCAGGGCCGGGCCCTCTGTGCAGCACCCTCGGGAGAACATGGGCGTGGCGTGGCCTCACAGCCGGGCCTGGGGCTGCGCGTCCCTGTCGGAGCCCCTGACCCTGGCCGGCTTTAGCGGGAGCAGTAGGGTAGAGATGAAGGACGGGGCCTCACCAGCTTGCAGGGCCGAGGTGAGCTGGTAGCGCAGGGCCTGGGCCTCAGGGTCGAAGGCCGAGCTGATAGCCGAGGCCCGGAGGTGCTGCACCAGCTGGGGCTGGGGGCCCCGCGCTGCTGCGTACCGGATGCTGTGGTTGCAGCGGAGGAGTCCAGGGATGTTGTTGTGGAGGAAGCGCTGCGTGGAGCCCACGAAGAGCTGGCCGGGCCCTGTCTGCACATAGCGCTCCTCGAAGTCCTGCAGGGGGAGAGCGAAGAGGGGGAGGGCAGAGGAGAGGGAGCAGGAGGGAGGGGGAGGAGGAGAGGGTGGCCAGGGGTTTCCACTTGTAAGGCCCCAACCCAAGGGCTGGGGTGCTGAGGGACCCCCGGGCCAGCAGCTCTCTTCCTCCAAGCACTGGGCAACCCAGGGCGGGGCCGGCAGCTGCCCCTGTGCAGGGGCTGGGAAGGAAGGGCCTGGTGCTTAGGGGTGCTGGGCGCAGCACACCCTCCTCGCCCTTACCGGGTCTGCACCCCCACCTGCACTTGGAGGTCTTCGTCCGCCAGGGCCTCGGGGACAGCGCCATTGACCACCACGTCCAGGAGCAGGAGCCCGTCCGGGTCCAGGCCCCGAGCCACCTGGGTCATCCTGAGCAGCTCCCCTGCAATCCAGCCCCGGCCGGCCAGGGTCACTTCGGGGAGGGGTCCCGGGTCCGGAGCTCAGCCTCCTCCTGCCTCCCTCAGGGCAGACCCTGCTCACCTGTAGCAAACTCCACGTGTGACTCCTGCTGGAAGCTGCCACCCGTCAAGGAAAGGCCATTTGGTGCCTCCTTGCTCTCTCCAGCCAGGGCCCAGTAGATGGGGGCGATGGTGACCACCAGTACCCGCATCAGAGGCCCTGGACAGGGTAGGGTGCAGAGGCCAGGTTAGGGCTGGATGTTCGGGGTGGGCACTCTCCCGCTCAAGGGCCCTCTGTGGCTCCCCACTGCCCCCAGGACGGCTCCGCCCTTTCCCTCCTGCTCCTGCACAGCCTTGGGACGATTTGCACTGGTTATTTACCAGAACCTGGGAAACAGTAAAGGCAAGTATCTCTTCATGGAATAGTTGTGAAAATGAGTAAATTCGTGTGAAGAAATATCTGTAACTTGGAGATAATCAGCTCCGCCCTTCAGGTTGAGGGTCACTAAGCTGCCAGGGAGCCTGGCACTCTGCAGGTAAATCGTTACCCATTTGCTGGGCTGAGCTGAAAATCAGCTGCATTTCCTAGTCTGGAGACAACCTCAGGAAGAGCCCAGGAGAGAGATTGTCCCAAACACTGACTTAGAAAACAGAGCTGACAGTTTGCCCCCGAGAAGCGCTCTTGGGCCTTCCTGTGATGCTTGGGCACAGACGGGTGGGGCACTGCCCATGCCCAGCCTCGCGGGGCCAGGGCTGGCGGCAGCTCGGGGATGCTGGCAGGACGGAGCTGGGCCCCTGGCTGAGCCCAGGTGCGCCCTGTGGCTGCTGCAGCTGCAGGAGCAGCCGCGGGCATCTCTGGTGACGCCGGCCAAAGCCGCTGGACCCTGCTGTGCACACGAGCTTGGGGTTGGAGCGGCTGTGGGGGAACCGCTCCAGGGAGAGGAGGTGGCGAGGCCCACCGGGCCGGGCTGCGGGCCTCCACAGAGCTGCGTGCTCAGAGCACGCTGTGGACGCGCCCGTGCCCGCGTGCCCGCGCTTGGCTCTCTGGGCTCTCCAGCCAACTGGAGTCTTCCCGTTTCCCCTCCCTTGCCTGCACCCCATGTCCCTTAACCATTTCTGGCGACCCTTCACAGAGCACCCAGGGGCGTCAAACACCACTTTCTGGGGCCCTGCAGCCTCTTAAACCTAACCAGTGTGTGTCTGTGGAGTACTGAGGATTCAGCCTGGGGCTCACACATGCAGGTGTTCCTCCGCCGTGCTACATGTCCAGCTCTTTCCATGTTTTTATTTAAAGACAAGGTCTCCCTCATTGGTCCAGGTTGGCCTTCAACTAGCAGTCCTCCTGCCTCAGCCTCCCAAGTAGTGGGATTACTTAGGGGGCCAGATCTCTAGGCACCAGGCCCTGGGCAAGCCTCTGAGAACAGCCTTACTGCTTTCTGCTCCAGCACCTGCTGGAGGGTCCCCGATGGGCAGGGACTGGGGGCCTCGATGAAGCGCCACGCCAGCCCCCACTCACCCACGTCCGCCGGGATGCGGCTCACGCTGCTCCGGATGGTGGTGACTCCGGAAAGCGCCTCCTGTTGCACACTGGTGTTGAGCGTGGCCACGCCGAACTCCCGGCCGTTGATCACCCCAATCATGCTGCCCCGGCTGCCCTGGGGGTGCTCTGTGAGGAAGCACAAGGACAACGGTGACACTCACCACCCACGCCCTCGGGACGAGCAAGAAGAGAACAGTGAAGCTCAGAGAAGGGCAGTAACTTCCCCAAGGACACACAGCTGACTCTCAGACTTAATGCCCAGGGCATCCTGACTCTGGGAGAGAAGCGAGCATGTGCTCAGGTGCCCCAGTGAGTGGGCTGGTCTGAGAAATGAGGAGATGGCCCTGGGACACGCAGGACATCCGCTGGTCTGTACATGCCAGGAGTGGGAGACGGCAGGGGCCGGCACCCTGGAGGGGTGGGCACCATGCAGAGCTGCATGCCATCAGCTGAGGCCCCCATTCCATCAGGGGCCCTGGCCCAGCGCCCTGCAGCTGGACTGGCTGGGGTGGGGTGGCTTCCTAGCAGTGCCAGGCAGTCTGCCAGGGCCGCTCTGCAGCTGGGAGGGGGGCTTCCTCTGTCTAATGGGCAGCCGCCTCCGCTGGGCAGCTGGCATTCCCGAGCGCAAGGGGCAGAAGTTAGCCTGCCCTCCTTCCGCCAGCTCTCAGGGGACATTAGCAGCAATCTGCCCATGATCTGTCAAAAAATAACAGAGAACACCAGGATCCTAAATGGGTAAATGAGGGGCCTGGTGAGCGCTGATTCTAGGAAGCGAGGCCACTTCCTGCAGCCTGGGGCCGGGGCTGATGAGATTTGCGCTGGGCTGGGATGTGTCCCACGCGGACCTGCTGCTCTGGGGTGGCGGGGGGAGCCTAGGCCTGCTAATGAGGGGCTGGGAAGGAGCCAGGATGGTGAGGCAGAAGTGTGACCCAGCAGGCTTGCAAAGGACAGGACCTCAGAGTCCAGGAAAGGGAAGCCACTTCTCATTTCTTGGGCCAGGGGTGTCTCTGCAGCTCCTTTTCCCCAACAAGATCAGAACTGGGACCTATCAGCCTGGCTGGGAAGGAGGGGTGAGGCAGGCAGGGAAGGGAGAAATAAGCTTGTGGCCAGGAAGCCTCAAAACCTCCCTTTAGCTGGACATGGCGGTGCAGCCCTGTAATCCCAGCACTCTGGGAAGCTGAGGCAGAAGGATTGCAAGTTTATGCCTAACCTGGACAATTTAACAACTTAATAAGACCCTGTCTCAAGGTAAAAAATAAAAAAGGGGCTGGGGATGGAGCTCAGTGTGAAAACCTTGGGTTCAGTCCTCACTATATAAAATGACAAGGACAAAAGTGAAAACAACACAACAAAACCAAAACAAAAACTCATTTGACCTAAGAAAGGCCCTTGCGGAGTTTACCCTGGAGAAACGTTCAGGCCGGCACACCGAGATGGCCCGCAGTTTGGTCCTGAGAGTAGAAACGGGGAAAGGAAACTTGCTGTCTCACACAGCCAACAGAGATGCAGAGAAGTCACGTCCATGCCGTAAGAGAAAGCCAGCCGAGGAGAGGGGACCCTGGCTGGCTACTGGGGGACATCACCCAAGACAGAGCGGCCTTACCCACAGCAGGCTATAAAGACGACCTCCTTTTTTGCAAAAAAAAAAAAAAAAAAGAAAATCTTTCCACTCAGAGAAAAAGTAGGCAAACGCATCCCCAAATCATGGCCCAACCTATTTCTGGTAACTGAATTATGGGAGATAATTACTTCTTCCTTCTCAGATTTCTGTATGTTCTGGCCTTTCTGCAAGGAGCAAACATGAAGGGGAAAGAACTATTTCCATGAAAAATAAGGAGGCTGTCAAGGGTTGGGTTGTGACATGCTGCCCAAATTCTCATGTTGGAGCCCTAACCTCGGGCCTCTGACTGCAGCCTTAGGATCTTTGCAGAGTGGCAGTGAGGTTGTTAAGGTGGGCCCTAATCCAGTATGCCTGCATCCTTCTAGGAAGGGGAGCCTGGTGTGGTGGTGCACGCCAGTAATTCCAGCACTCAGGAGGCTGAGGCAGGAGGAGGATTGCCATGAGTTTGGGGCCAGCCTGGGCTACACAGTGAGACCTTGTCTCAAAAAGCCAAAAGGAATAATAATAATAATAATAAGTAGAAAAGGGAAATTCAGAGATAGACACACAGGCGCAATGCCCCTTGACAATGAAGGACAGCAGCACCTCACCAGAAGCTGGGGACGGGCCCTCACAGACCAACCCTGCCCATGACGGCCTTGCCCGTCATGCCTCCAGGGCCATGAGACAGGCAGCAGGTGCTGCTTAAGCCCCAGCGTGCAGCACTGTGCCTGCCAGCCTGGCCTGGGAAGCCAACCCAGAGGCCACGTGCAGGTCAACAGGAGTGGGGAGGACCAAGCCAGGAAACAGAGCGCAGTCCCCGGCTGTGAAGCCACTCCCGAGAGCATTCCCGGCTGGTGTCACAATGTTGAACTTCCAGTGCTTGGGTTTCAAGTGACACAGGACCAAATCCCAATTCCAGTTAGTGGGGAAAAGGGTTCTATGCCTGGAGAAGGGTTGTACGGAGAGAGTCTGACATGGTATGTGGTGATAGATTGGTGATGCCTGTCATGGATGGGGCTAGAGAAGGATTCTATGAAGAGAAAGCCTGACATGGTGTACGGTGGTAGATTGGTCATGTCTGCCATGGACAGGGTTGGAGCAGGCTTCTATGGAGAGAAACTCTGACATCGTATGCATTGGTAGATTGGTGATTCTGCTAGGCACAGCACTGGAGAAGGGTTCTATGGGACACTGTGTGTGGTGATGTCTGCTAGGGATGGGGCCAGAGAAGTGTTCTATGGAGAATGATTCTGAGGTTGCGTATGGCCATAATTGGTTACATTTTCCAGGGACAAGGGAGGGATCCAAAGCCATACCTATGGACTGTTTGCTACAGGGCACAGGCCACCCAGAAATAGTATTCTGTAACCTTCCTTTGTGCAGGTCCATATTATTTTCCTGTGGTTTCTCAGGATTGCCCATTTCTTTAACTTTAAATTCTGGTCTGGCCCAAGGGAGAGGAGAGTTGAAGAGTCCTGAGACAGCAGGCTTAGTGACATCTCTGAGCTGTGACCCATCCGACCGCTTCCCTGGCCAGACCATGTGCCAGCCGCGCAGTGGGTCAGATACCCGCAAAGTGAGACACAAGCCCCCAGGGTACAGGAGCCCCTGCCAGTGTCCACAGAGACCCGGGCAGCGATGTCTCGTACCTCTCACAACCAGGAGCGCCCTGGCGGTGGCAGAGCCCAGGAGGTTGTGAGCAACGCACTCGTACGCCCCGGCGTCCCCAGCCTCCACACGCTCCAGCGCCAGGCTCCCGTCTTGCAGGGTCCAGAGTCGCCGGCCAGCCCGCAAGGGTCGCCCCGCACGCAGCCACTCGATGGTGGGTCCTGGCTCTCCAGTGGCCTGGCACCGCAGGACCACGTCTTCACCGGGCCTCGCTGTGATGTCCTGGGGCTCCGCCTGGAACACCGGCGGACCTGTGGGAGACCCGGGCAGCTTTTAGGAATATGGAGTTATTTTTGTCTGTTGCAGTGACACACATTCATTTAGACACGTCTGACGACGCAGAAAGACCAGGATGAGAAAATAAGGGGCGGACAGGGTCTGGGGGCTCAGTTACAGCCTGCGCACTCCCTCCCTCACCCCAGTGTCGGCTACCATCCACGTCATTAAGCGTTCGTTTTTAGGGGCTGCTGGCATCCCATTGCTCGATCCTGTTGTGACTTGCTCAATAAACCTCCATTCTAGCTGGGGATTTAGCTCAGCTGCGCAAATGCCTGCCTGGCAAGTGCAAGGTCCTGAGTTCGATTCCTGGTACCACAAAAAAAAAAACCCTCCATTCTAGGGCACTTAAGTTGTTTCCAGTGACACAGGTGACATCGCTGGGGCCCTGTGACACGGATGCAGCTGGGATCCTGGCTGTGAGTGACTCTCCCAGGGCTCTCCCCGGCCCTCTGCTTTCTCATCTGCAGATGGGGACAGTGCTTCCAATGAGGATCCCAGGGATGCAGATGGAAACACCCAGCGCTGGAGAGGCTGCAGGGCTAGTGGGGCTCACACGCCGCAGGAGGACACAGAGAGGGGCAGCCACTGTGGAGGGCTCTGCCGGCCTCAGCCTCCCTCAGGGGCTGTCATGAACGCCGCAAGTGGTAGTCAGGGTCGCGGGATGTGCGTTCTAGCAGCTTGGAGGCCAGAAGTGTCACTGGGCTGGAGCCACCGCGCCATGCCTCCTCCAGGAGCTCGGGTGGGGAGGGGAACCCACTCATCCCTTTGTTCCGGGTCACACGACCCCTTCCTCTGACTGTGTCCGCCGGAGCCTGTGGCCCTGTGTAGCTCATTTCCCTTGGTTTCTCCTTTCTTGTTTGTTCTTTTTCTTTTTCTTTCTTTCCTTCTTTCTTTCTCTCTCTTTTTTTTTTTTTTTTTTTTTGTCTTTTTGAGACAAGGTCTTGCTATGCAGTTCAGGCTGCTTTTGAGCTCACTTTGTAGCCCAGGCCAGTCTCAAACTCATGAAGAATCCCCTGTGTCAGGCTCCCGAGTGCTGGGACGACAGGCACGCGCCACCACGCCCAGCTGTTTTCTTTCTTCCTTCCTTCCTTTTCTGTTTTGGTGTTTTGAGACAGAGTTTCACTATGTGGTTCAGGTTGGTCTTAGACTCACTGTGTAGCATTGGCTGGCCTCAAACTCACAGCAGTCCTCCTGCCTCAGCCTCCCGAGTGCTGGGATGACAGGCATGCACCACCATGTCCAGCTGCCTCTCTTCTCTAAGAACCCTAGGGTAACCTGAGACAATCTCCCAATCTCAGGGTCCTCAACCCAATCATAGCTGTGCATTCTTTGTCCAGGTGGGACCCCAGGTCCTGGGTTTCAGGTGTGAACCCATCCTTGGGAGCCAAGTCCTTGTCCAGGGCAACTGGTTTCTCCTAGAGCTGGGCACGTGCGTTGTAAGACCCCCCAGTTCTGCTCCGGGGTGACATCCTAATGACTTGCAGACCACACAGACTTGGGCTCACTGGAAGAGTCTGAGCAAGTCTGCTCAGGATCGCCCCGGCCTGGAAACCACCTGCAGTGGAATCTGTGAGGCAAATGACGGCGTCTTCACAAAATAGAAAACCAGCCAGCAACGGGCATGAACCGATTCCACAGGAACGGCACATGTGTGCCATCCACAGTGGGTGCAAAGGCAGTCTGATACCAGAGACCATAGTAAGATTCCACTACAAAAATGTTTTTGCCGGGTGTGGTGTCACATACCTATAATCCTAGCGCTCAGGATGCTGAGGCAGGAGGATCACCTGTAACTGAAGCCCAGCCTGGACTACATAGGGAGACCCCTGTCTCAAAAAACCAAAACAATATATGTACACTTTCAAATTTCAGGGATCTAGAATCAATGAAAGGTGTGCAACCTATGGAGACTCCCTTGTCCACAAAAAGCTTCTAGGACCTTGGATCAGATCAGTGGGACTCTGTGGCCCTCCTGCCCAGGACCGGCCCCACCACTGCAGCTGTCACCCTGACTGTCATCCTGTGACTAGGGCAGGCTGGCTGGAACAGGGGGAGGAGGGAAACAGACCCAGAGGGAAAACCGCCGAGACGGATGGGAGACGGCCGCCCTGCCAGCGTGGGGCTGAGGCTGCGGAGAAGCCGGACGCAAGGGGCGCGTCGCCAGCTGGACACTGCCCGCCGTGCCCTTGGTGTGGCAGGTGTGACCCCCGCAGGGAGACCTGGAGGGCCGTGGGGGGAGGTAGGACCTGGCCGATCCGAGCAGCTCTGCAGCCGCCGCCCGGCTGAAAATCTCCTTCCTCACGTCTCCAGCGCGTTTGTCATTGCTCCTTGAAGTGGTTTCCTGATGGCAACTTTTAAATCCTGGTCTGGTGAGTCACACTCCATGCCCTCTCCCACGACCTCCCTGCACCTTCTTCTCTCATTCAAGTCGAGATGTCTCTGTTCCTGACCTGGCCGGTGAATTTCCATTAGAGTATGTGAGGCAGACTGTCTCTGTCCCTGTCTCTATCTCTGTCAGTCCTGCGGCTTAAGGCAAGCTCTCCACCACCGAGTCACTTCCCTTTTCATTTTTTAATTTTGAGACAGGTAGTCCTAAATTGCATCCTAAATTGCGTCCTAAATTGCGTCCTAAATTGCGTCCTAAATTGCTCAGGCCAGGCTCAAGTTGCAATCCTCCTCCTGCCTCAGGCTCCCCGTGGCCAAAGTCACAGGAGTGCGCATCACACCTGCTTTGAGACTGGTTCTTCCACAGCTCTTCCAGTTTAGCAGCCTCCTCTCTGTTGCTGGGAAAGGAGGTGCCGGCCACTGCTACCAAGGGATGAGGACGCCCAGGTCTCCTGCTGGACCTCTGACCCCAGGATGGGGAGCGTGGCCGCCCCATGGGGTCCCTCTGTGTTTGTTAATGGGGTGGGGCTGTGGTTTTTATGGGGCCTGGCTGGAGCACAGCATTCTAGTCTGGAAGTTTTCTTTCTTGCTGGGTCGTGCTTTCCTAGTCTTGTGGCAGGAGAGAACAGGAGCTTGGTGGCAGTTTAGTTTGATTATTTGTGGGGGCTGCTGGCGCTCCCAGGTTGCTGGCGTCCAAGCCCACCCAGGAGGTGGGAGGGAGTTGTCATTACTTTGTGCCTGGGTCGCAAGGCCCTCAGGCCATCTTCCTCCTCCCTGAGTTCCCTGTGGAGGGGAGGCTGAGGCTTTCGCTGTGCCCAGCACCGCACAGACCCGGGGAAGTGTGTGCATTACAGCTGGTCCAGAACCAGAGCCCTTCTCGCTCGGCAAAGATCCCTGCACACTGTGACAGGGCATTCCCTCCCGCACCGAGGGCGGCTGCGAGCCCAGGCCTCCGCCTGACTGCCACAGACTGCGTGCTACGCGGCACGCTGAGGACTAAAGGTGTCTGCTCACGCCGTGCCCAGCTCTGCGGCAGGAACTCAGCCTGCAGAAGGGCCGTGCAAGAAGTCAGGACATAGAGCGGGCCAAGACCAAGGCCGTCCTGTCCCTACTCATCAGCGACCGCCAGGAAGTCCTTTGCGTAGAAAGCGCCAAGGAACCCACCAGGAAATGACCAGGACCAGGAACTAAGTTAGTAAGGCGGCGGGATACAAGACCAAGATATAAAAACCAATTGTGTTTCTGCATATGAACAATGAAAAATCAATCTAAGAAAACTATTGGATCAAAAATAGCATCCATTCCAGGTTCCGTGGCACACACCTATAATCCCAATATTCAGGAGGCTGAGACAGAAGGATCTCTGAGTTTGAGGCCTCAGCTGCATAGTGAGTTCAAGGCCAACCTGAACTACACAGAGGGACCCTGTATCTAAAAAAAAAAAAAAAAGCAACCAAAATAATAGAATGTTTAGTAATTAATTTAACAAAGAAGTTTAAAACTTTATAGCAAAAACTACAAAATGTCACAGAGAGAAACAAAAGCTCTGCATAAATGATACTGGAACAAATGGATATCCATAAAGGAAAAGAAGAAAGAAAGAAAAAAAGCAACAGGGCATGGTGACACGCACCTGTAACCCCAGCGCTCTGGGAGGCTGAGGCAGGAGGATGGTTACTTTGAGCCCCGCCTGGCAACTTAGGGACATTGTGAGCTCCTGTTGCAAAATAAAAATTTAACAACATCTGGGGATATAGCTTAGTGTGAAAGCCCTGGATTCAACCCCTGCTACCAAAAGCAATAAAAAAGGAATTTAGACACATGACTCACAGGAAAATGAACTCAAAACAGACCACAGACCTAAATGATATAAAAACTGCAACTAGGTCAAGATGCAGCTCAGTGGCACAGTGCCTGCCCGGCAAGTTCAATTCCCAGAACCAAAATAAATAAACAAAAAAAGCAACAAAAACCCCCTACAACTGTGGACATCTTAGAAGAAAATGTGACCTTAGGTTAGGCAAAGATGTGTTTTAGATATAACACAAGATACGATCCAAACAGTGCAAAAATGATAAACCTCAATTTCATTAAATGTTACAACTTCTGCTTTTTCCATGTCACCATTAAGAAAAGGCAAAGGCAAGCTGCAAAGTAGGAAAACATCTATGACTTGTGTATCTGGAGAAGGACTTGTCCCCGCTTGTCCTCACTCTGTAAAGGAGCCTTGCAACTTATTAATAACATAATTCAGCGAAAAGTAGGGGCCCGCTGGGAACAGGTGCAGCCAGAGAAGCTGCCCAGGCGGCCCGGGGGCAGACACAAGATGCAAGTACAGTCGAGCATGCAGAAAAACCAAGACCTCACACGCTGCTGGAAGGAAAGCAAAAACTACAGCCCATTGGCTAGTTTCTAAAAGAAGTTAGGACACGCCTACCCAGCACTCAGACTCCTGGGAATTTACCCAAGAGGAAGGAAAGAGTACATCCGTGCAGACGCTTGGACACAAATGTTACACCAGCATTGTTTATGGTTGTCAGAAACTGGCCAGGTACGGTGGTGCACGCCTGTGATCCCAGAACTCAGGAGGCTGAGGCACGAGGATTGCCACAAGTTCAAGGCCAGCCTGGGCTACATAGTGAGTTCAAGGCCAGCCAGACTACATAGCAAGACCCTGACTCAAAAAAAAAAAAAAAAAAAAAAGGCCAAAAATTGGAAAGTTGCCAATGCCTGGTGATTGGTGAATGATAAACAAAATGTGGTCCATGCATACGGTGGAATACTATTTGGCTGTGAAGAGGAATGGCCTCCTGGCAGATGGCTGACTCAAGAACACACAAAGGGAAGAAGCCAAGCTGGAAGACTCCACTGCGTGAACCTTCTGGATCCTGTACGAAAAGGGCGGGGACCAAGAGGGGGAGGGAGAGGGAGGGGAGGGTTCCATCCCCAGCACTGCTCGCAGGAAAAGTGGTAAAAAACAGACAACTTAAGTGTTATCAGAGGAACCTTTTTGAAGTGTTCAGTTCTGCATTGTTGTGTCATGTTGTTGTGCAACCCGGCACCAGAACTTTTTCGGGCAGCAAAATCCAATTCTGTACCCATTAAAGCACCAACAACTCCCCTCCTCCTCCTCTTCCAAGCACCGGCAACCACCTCCTTCTCTGCCGCTGTGAATCTGACTGCTCTACAGACGTCACATAAGAGAACCTGGCTTATTTCCCCTAGCACAATGTCCTCAGGGCTCTTGCATGTCATATTGTAGCATGTGCCAGGATTGCCTCCCTTTTTAAGGCTATATACTATTCCACCATGCAAATGGACAGGTCTTATGGCTTATAAATCATATCTCAATAAAACTGTGTTTTTAAAGAAATAAAAACAGGCCAACTTGGGATTATATTACTGGGGTGGGGGCAGTGTTTGGAAGGGCTGTGCCAGGGACCTGCATGGACTCCCATTATGAAAGCTCATGGCGTCACACCCTTGTAACACATGCCTTCTCTGCACATGCGTTTGTCTCAGCACACTGCTCTCTGCAAAGTCCTTGTGGAGACTCTCTCGGGTTACCCTGGGGTTCAGAGAGCGCTTAGCATCGCCATGAGGACCTCAATGGCGGCCTTGAGATGTAAACAACTGGACCCCACACTTCAGCAACATTTCGTAGGACTTCAGTTGTGGGTTCCAAACAAACATTTGTTACGCAGCCACAGCTGCCCCTGAGCACCCCTCTGCATCTCCTCCTGCTGGGGACAGGCGTCCAGGCCCAGGGCCAGGGCGGGACTCACTCTGTAGGACGAGGGTCACCACTTTCTTCACGGCGCCCACCTCGTTCTCAGCCAGGCACTGGTACTGCCCCGCATCGGCCATCTGAGGGGAGACAGGGGCTCAGGAAGGGACAGCGGCAGCGGGGACCTGCGTGCTCACCCCGCAGGGACCCCAAGGCCACTTGTCAATAGCTATGCAGAGACGCCAGCCCTCTCATATCCACACCTGGGGGCAGTGACAAGGGGCCCCGGTTGGCGGCCCCAAGAGGAGCCCCTGCTGGGCAGGGTTAGGATCCACCTCTTCCAAGCTGTCGGTGCTGAGCCATTCCCGCTCCACGGTACCGCAGCTGGGGCTCCCGGGAGAAAAGCGAGGGCTTCATGGGCAAATACGTCTGGGAAGCACCAAGGGGGTCGACAGATACTGGCCCTGGGGGACCCCTCAGGACGCTGACAGCGCCACCTGCACCGTACACCTCCCAGGGACCGCAGAGTCAGCAGGACTCCCCTAGCATAAGCGGCCAGGGCAACTGGGTGCAGCGGACGTTCACGACCACCAGTCCGACCAGACACAATAAGGGACCGCCTCTCCCAGAAAGGGACTGCGGCAGCCTGAGACCGTGGCCAAGCCCAGGTGAATCCAGGAAGCCGGACCATAAGCAGCCCAGAGGTAAGGGTAGACTCTGCGCAATCTGAAACTGAGTCCCAGACCCACGCTCATGGATGGAGCCATTACTGCAAACGGTATGTCTCTGGTGCCTCAGTTTCCCCACCTCTACAGTGAGAATGATAACCACGGAGTTTTATTCTCAGTACTGAGACTGAACCAGGGCCGTCACATGGAGTGACATTCCTGGCCATGTTTCTTTCTTTTTTACGAAATAGGACCTCTCTAAACTGCTACGTTGTGCAGGCTGGACTCGGACTCAGGATCCTCCTGCCTGCGGCTCCCAGGGCGCCGGGATCACTGGTGTGGCCGCCACGCCGGCTCCACCGGCGAGTGTCACACACCACAGCGCGTGTGAGGTGCCAGGTGGGGACCGGACACGGTGGCCGCGGTCGCTGCTGCTACGCTCCCAGCCCCGCTGTCATCTCTGCCCAGCGACAGCTCCCCGGTGAGCCAAGGGCCTGAGGTAACTCCTGTCAGACAGAGCATGGGGTTCCCCGTGGAAGCGGGAGGCACCTCCCCAAGCCCAGATCTGGAAACCTCAGGGGAGGAAGCTGAGAGACCCGGCCCAGGCTCCTTTCTCCTGCAGGTACTGGCTGTGCCTGTCTGAGCTTCAGTGCCTGTGTTTGTCCAGCGGGGGCACCGCTATTGACCTCTGCCCAGGACGTCACCAATAACAAGGTTCTGGGACACGGCCACAGGCCACCCTTGGGTACCTGGCATGGGACATCTATCTGATTCTCGCTATTTCCCGGGAGGTAGAAAAAGTCATTAGCCCTGACAAGTGTCTGTCTGGGTGACTGAGATCACTGAGATCGGGCGTGTTCAGAGTGGTATGGCCGCAGATGTGACAGACTCAGAAAAGCAAGTCCCTGGTGGGAGGTCACCCTGGTCCAGGCGGGGGGATATCTGGGGAACCCCGGGGAGGAAATGCTTTGTGGGCTGTAAAGGGCAGTGTCAAGCTAAACAGCCCCCTCCCCAGCCTCAGCAGCACAGTGCTGTCCTGGGGTCGCCCCTTGCCTTGGTCTTGCGGATGGTCAGCGAGCCGTTCTGTACCCGCAGGCGGCTGTCCCACAGTGGAAGACCATCTTTGGTCCAGCGGATGTCAGGGTCTGGATCACCACGGACCACGCAGTCTAGCTGGATGCTGCCCCCTACAGGCTCCACCAGGTGAGAGACGGCTTCGCCTTGGAGGACAGGGGCCTCTGCATGGGGCAACATCAACGGAGGGGTTAGGAGGGGGATTCCCTGGAGGCTCAATTCCCATAACCCATTCTCAAAGTCCTGCCCAGCCTCTGCCTGCACGGACTGTGTACGGTCAATGCACTGGAAGCACAAACAAATCCCATGTCCTGGGCCTCGTCACATAGACTGGCAGTGGTTGCCAAGAACTGGGCTGAGAAGAGGGATCTGAAACTGAGGGGGAATCATGCTGCAGTTGATTAGTGATGCCTGAGATGGGCACAGGCAGGAACACAGGGCTATGTGTGTCTTTAGTAATTGCTCCCACAGATAAATTGTACCAGCTGCTGATGCCTGCCAGGTACCTTGGGAAGCAAGAACTATAAGAAAATAAGAGCACAAGAACCCTCTGTTGTGTGCAGAAGCACAGAGGTTCGTTGGATCCTCAAAGCACTGTCAGATGCTCAGGGCTGCTTTCTTCCCTTCCTGAATCTACCAGGAGCTGCAGCTGAGGCCCAGTGCCTGGAGCGGCTGGTCTCTGCCCCCTGCCATCAGCCCATCTTGCAGCTGTGTTGCCAGTGTCATCAAGGGCTCCTGTGCTGCCCCTGAGAGAGCCAGGCTAGAAGGGATGGACAGGGGGACAGCAAGCCCCAGGGGTTTTTCTCTCTCCTCAGCACAGCACTGTCCACTGCAGGGAAAGCCCCCAGTGGGTCCCAGAGTGCAGAGCCACTCGTCGGAGGACAGGAGCCCAGGCTCTGGGAAAGCAGGCGTCCGGGCTGCCTGGCCATCTCGGGTGGAAGGTGTCCGGGCCCGTGCCCTACCCTTCACGTGCACAAAGCTGACCGCCTGCACACGGCCCACTCTGTTCTCAGCCCAGCAGACATAGGTCCCGCTGTCCTCTCTGGTCACCGCTGCCCGCTGCAGTGTGCTGCCCCCGTCCTGCTCGGACACGCCATCTGAGGAGGAGAAAGCGAGGTCTCAGGATGCTGAGTCCAAGGGCCCGGACCTCGAGTCCTGAGCTCTCCACCTGGGCCTGGGTACCCAGCAGGTGCTTAGCAAGGACGAGAATAAAAGCGAATGCCCCTTCTCGCTAGGGCGCAGGCTGACAGAGTCAGACCCCTCGGGGCGTCCCAGGCTATGAAGATGGGGCTGCAGAGCCTGCCCCACGCTGAAGTGCTTGCTAAGCGGTCAAGGGCTGCCCCGGACCCACGATGGGCACCACAGCTCCGGGCCAGGACACGGCCTCCTCCCGGCCTGAGTCTCCCCTCAGGTGGCCTTGAGTCTTACCGGAGCCCTTGAGGCCCGCGGACAGCCACTTCCTCCCCGCCGCGCCCACCTGCCCCCGCTGCAGCCCAGACCTGTGACTGGCCGGTCGTTCAGGGTCCAGCCGAGGCGGGGGGTCGGGCTGCCCCGGGCAGCGCAGCGCAGCCACAGCCTGTCCCCAAGGCGCAGGCTGCGGTCCCCGGGCAGCGTGGTGAGGACAGGCAGTGCCAGGATGGTGAGGTGCACACGCCGCCGGGCCCGGCCCACCGCATTCTCCGCCGTGCAGGTGTAGGTGCCCGCGTCCCGACCCTGCGGGAGAGGGGTGCTGGGCTAACTGTCTCCACCCTGGCCTGGCCTGGATACCCGGCCTGGAAGGTTCCCACGGAGCATGGAGCCCTAACGGAGGGACTTGCGAGGGTCACACAGCCCAGGGCAAGGTCGGCTTCTCCACTGCACCCTTGAGAACACACTCTGCTCCGCATCCTCCAGGCTCTGACCACACCGCACGAACCACAGCGTTTGCTCCTGCTGGGACCTGCCTAAACTGTCCTGGCCCCTCCCGCGGCCCCGCCCACCACCCTGGCCCCGCCCACACCCACCCACTGCCCACCTTCACAGCCCCACCCACACCCCTGGCCCCACCCACAACCACAGCCACACTCACAACCTTGGCCCCGCCCATAACCGCAGTCCCACTCACAGTCCTGGCCCCGCCTCCAGCCACAGCCCAGGCTCCACACCTCCCGACCCAGGGACCATCACCATCAAGGTGTGCTTTGAGGGGGTGATGTCACCACACTCCCTCCTGGTGGCCGCCCTCACCTCGGAGTTCTTCACCAGTAGCTCCCCCGAGGGCTGGAGGCTGAACTTGCCCTGGGCTCCGGACACGGTCACTGGCTGGCCATCCTTCTCCCAGCGGATGTCGGGCTGCGGGCTGCCCCTGGCCACACAGGGCAGGAGGGCGTGGGAGCCTTCCGTGGTGGACAGGTCCGGGAGGCCGCTCTCGATCACGGGGGGTGCTACAGGGATCGTGGGGCAGAGTGCCAGTCACCGGCTGGCACACGCGTTGTCGGGCTATTGCTAGTCACAATGAGGGAAGGACGATCCGGCTAGATTCCCTGCCCGGAGGGAAGGCAGAGAGGGTGGGGTTCGTGCCGGAAGCCATCCCAGGGCGCGAGAGGAGAGTTCCTTGCTCCTTGTAGAGCCACAGTGGGCAGCACTTGGGTAGGGAGGATGCCCGGGCCCACAGCCTGCAGCAAAGCCGGGCAGAGGTCGGAAGGCTTCAGCCAGTGGGTCCAGTTCAGGCTGCTCCCTGAACCCACCTTGCACCACCAGCCGCGTCCTGCCCATGGCGCTGCCCGCGCTGTTCTGGGCCACGCAAAAGTAGTTCCCAGCATCCTCAGGGTGGGCACGGATGAGCCGCAGCTGCCCGCTCGGGAGGACCTGGCTCCTGGCTCCTGGGTACAGTGGGAGAAAATCAGGGGCTGGTAGGGAGCAGAGGGGCCCAAAGAGGGCAGCTTGAGCTTCTCTGACAGGGGGCAAATGACTCGTCCGGGCAGCAGAACGACGGAGCGACCCAGTGACCACCAAGCCTGGCCGGCAGCCAAACCCAGCCACCCGCTCCATGGCCTCCGACTCAGCACTGGGCACCCAGATGGGATCTCAGGCTTCGGTGACACAGTGACGCGGGGCAGGGGTGGGGACTGTCTCTGGGCCAGGTGGACTCTGTGGGGCCTCTCAAAGGCCTGCAGGGGCTTCTGGGCAGACAGGGGGACCCAGGGTTCCTGGGAGGATGTGTGCCCCGACCCCTGCAGGATGCTGTATGTCTTACCTGCAGGGACGTTGAACCCCTCTTTCTGCCAGGTGACAGTGGGCCAGGGGATGCCTGAGGCCTCACAGGGCAGCAGCACCTCCTCCTCTGCCACCACCTGGACCACGCTGGGCAGCGGCTTCACCACAGGGGAGGCTGCGAGGGCAGAGGGGACGAGGTCCCTGGGAGCACCTCTCACACCAGCCCCACAGAGAGCAGGGCAGCTCTGCGCCAGGACTTCTCTCCCAGGGGCCCCCATGGGAGCAGGTTCTGATGGGGTCCCTGAGCACGGCGCGCTCCCTGCCCTCTCGACCTGGCCAGACCCTTACCCTGCACAGTGAGGAGCACGTGCTTGCGGGCCACTCCGGCAGCATTGCGGGCTGTGCAGGTGTAGCGGCCAGCGTGGATGGGCAGCGCCTGCCCGATCTCCAGGGCACCTGTACGTGACAACACGCTCAGAGACGGGGTCCCCAGTGGCAGAGCTGCCCGGGCTCCCACACACTCCCACCCTTCATTTCTGGTGCAGGCCCACTCCCCACATCTTTTTTTTTTTTTTGGTACTGGGAACCAAACTCAGGACCTCGTGCCTGCTAAGCAGACGCTTGTGCCACTGAGCTATAGCCGTAGTCCCTCCCCACATCTTTGTGAACAGCACCAGGAATAGGCTGCCCTGGCCACCTGTGTGAGCGTCATGGTGGGCCTCAGTTTACCCATGTGTATGAGATATGATTGAAAAATATAGTAAATGTTTAAATTTAAGGAAATGTATTACAGTAAAAGACATGTTTCCACAAATCTCCCCCCAGAATACTACCCCTTGTTTCTAACGCACCGATCCCATCGTCCTTGCCGCTTTCTGCAGCAGCTCTGGAGCGCTCTTTCCTGAGTGTCATTTGTGGCGCTGTCCTGGCTGCCTTGAGGTCCTGAACTGATTCAAAACCTTCCCTTCTGTGGTTACTTTGACTTTGGGGAGGAGCAAGAAGTCGCACAGTGCCAGGCCCAGTGAATAAGGGGGATGAGGACATAGTGCCATGTTTTTATTGAGCTGCCTTTCCACTGGATGGCGCGTGGCAGGACCCTCCACCACATTCTTTTTTTTTTTTTTTTTTTTTTTGGTTTTTCTCCGGTACCGGGAACCGAACTCACGACCTTGCGCTTGCCAGCCAGGCGCTTTTGCCACTGAGCTAAATCCCCAGCTCCACCACATTCTTGATTACACCGTACAAAGACACTCAGGAAAGGGCACTTCCAGAACTGCTTCAGAAAGTGGCAAACGTGATAGTATCGGTGTGTTTGAGGTGAGAGGGAAGATTTTGAGGGGGCTTAATGGCAGTGTATCTTTTACTGTAATACATCTTTAAATTTAAACACTCACTGTATACTTTGACCACGTATGGTACAGAAACAAATCAGGTGACATGGTCTCTAGCACCTCCAGGGTGACAGTCCAGGATCAGCCATTGCGCTGCCTGGAATTGCTGGCCCAGAGTCCTCCTCTGCCTCGCTCTTGTCACCATGCTTAACACCGTCCTCCTCTAGGAAGCCTCCCGGGATTCCTCCTCGATCTTCCTTCCCTTCACCCGGGTGCACAGCGGGCACCCCTGCCCCCTCCTCAGACCACAGGCTGTGCCCACAGTCAGGTGCAGGAGTCTCTAGGTATTCTCTGTGGACTCCCAAGGGCCCCTGGGTGGTGGGGGAGCCGGGCCCGATGGTCTCAGATCACCCATGGCCACGCCCAGCCGGATCTGGAGCTGTGAAGTGCTTTCTACCCTGCTGCACTGTAACCGCTGGCCAGAAGGAAATATTCTATTCCTCAGATGAGTTTGAAAACCACAGATCTAACCAGTGGTTCTCAGCTTAGGATATCCCTGACCAACCAACAAGTAAATTTAATGTGGGGAGACCCCGTTCATTTTGACAAGCAAAGACGTTCTCAGAGTCACTAGTAGCCAGGTGTGATGGTGCGTGCCTATAACTCAGCACTCCGGGAGACTGAGGCGGGAGGATTGCAAATTCAATCCTGGGCAATTTAGCAATGTTTGTTCTCTCTGTCTTTTTGAAACAAGGTTTCACTACGCAGTTTAGGCTGGCCTTGAAGTCACTTTGTAGCCCAGGCTGGCCTCAAACTCGAAGTGATCTCCTGCCTCAGCCTCCCAAATGCTGGGATTGCAGGTGCGCACCGCCACACCCAGCAATTTAGCAATTTAACAAGACCTTGTCCCAAAATAAAAAATAAAAAAGCCCTGGGGATGTAGCTCAGTGTGAAGGCCCTTAGTTCAATCCCCAGTATTGAAGAAAAAAACCCAAACTACTATTACCTTAATTTCACCAAAGAAAGGAACTTTCAACATCAAGAGATTAAGAGCATAATTCAGAATAAGCAGCAACTGTCCTCCTGGGGTAAAACTAGCTTTATGAAAAATCTGGGGGCTGCGATTTCTCTCCCTTTGCCAGGAAAGAGCACGGTGTTGCCCGGAGTCTCACGCCCGCCCCCGCTGCTGGGTCTCAACACTGCAGTGCCCACGGGGGAAACTAAGGGTCGGGGAGGGCAGCGGCTTCTCCCTGTCACACAGCGAGGGGTCAGGAGAGCCAGGCCGATCTCCACTCTCTGCGGCTGCCCCTTACGCACCGGAAGGCAACACGCGGTAGCCGCTCCCCCGGGTCCCCAGCTGGGTGCCCGCCCTGCTCCAGGACACGGTGGGGACTGGCACCCCCGTGCTGTGGCAGGTGAGGACCACGGGTGCCATCCTGGTCACGGTGAAGGCCGTCTGGTCGTCTGCGATGGTCGGAGGCTCTGCAAGCCAGGACAAGGCCTGAGCCCCGCTGAGGAGCAGGGGAAGCAGGCCGCGGGGTGGGGCTGAGAGCGACACGGAGGGTGACTGCAGCGTCCTCTCCTGCAGGTTCCCATCACCAGGAACTGTGCGGAGCCCGGTTACGCGAGGGACAGGCCACGGGATCCAGGAGGGCTTCCTGGAGGAGGGTCCAGCCCGCCTCACTCACCCTGCACGGTCACCTGGTAGAGCCTGCGGGTCTCGCCCACCTCGTTGCTCACCACGCACTCAAACTGAGCTGAGTCCTGGGCACTGGGGGCCACAAGCAGCAGGGCATTGGAGGGCAGGAGGCTAGATGGAGGGGTAGACAGACAGGGAGCTAACTGACCAGCCGGCCTGGGTGAGCCAGCACGGCCGTCCCGCCTCAGCTTCAGCAGTCTGGATGCAGACACCCTCCCTCCTGCATCCGTGCCCAGCCCTGACTTGACAGTGTCTCACAGCCAGCCGTGGTGGCGCATGCCTATAATCCTAGCACTCGAGAGGCTGAGGCAGGAGGGTCGCTGTGAGTTCAAGGCCTGCCTGGACTGCATAGCAAGACCCTGTCTGAAACCTTCCCTCCCTCAAAAAACACCTTCCAGAAGTTCCTGCTCCTCAAGTTTCAGCTCTTGGGTTTGTGTGGCTTTGTTTCCATCCCGTTTCTCTGTAACTCTGCATGTTTGGTGCCCCAGTTTCTCCAACTTCTCCGCGGACTGCTCCGGAAGGCCCAGTCAGGGGGCTCGCCGTACTGAGCCCCTGCTTCCCGGCCCAAGATGACCACGAGTTAACGGGTCAGGGGTGACCCCTTCAACCCTCCCACAGCCACTGAACAATTAGCGAAGTGGGGAAACCAAGGGTCCTGGACAGACACAAGGCTGGCCCTGGCCGGCACATACCTACACCCCTAAGTTTGTGGGGGCTGGGGATGGAACCCCGGGCCTCATGCATACTGGGCAAATGCTCTACCATGGAGGAACTACACCCCAACCCTTCCATGTTTTGTATTTGATGTTTGAGAGTGCAATAAATATAACACTTTTGCCGGGCATGGTAGTGCACACCTGTAATCCCAGCACTCGGGAGGCTGAGGCAGGAGGATCATTGCGAGCTCGAGACCAGCCTGGGCTACAAAGTGAGCTCAAGACCAGCCTGAACTGCATAGTGAGACCCTGTCTCAAAAAGACAAAAAAAACCATTTTTGTATTTTCCCATTTGGCATAGAACGTGTAAAGCGTTTGGCCCCCTGCCTGGTCACCCCACTGCTTCAGAGTCCGGACCCTCCTGGTCCCTGGAGCCTGATCCCTACCTGGTTTCCTGCCCAGGCCCCTTCGGGAGACCAGCACCCGTTCCACCCACAGCTCAGGTGCCCCACAGGAGGACCAGCTCGTACCGGTAGGCGCCCTGCTGCACGTGGAGGTCCAACTTCTGTCCGTCTTTCCACCAGGCCACCAGGGGCTTGGGGGAGCCGCTGGTCTCGCAGGGCAGCACGGCCGGGCTGGGCGCGGTGAGGGTGAAGTTGGAGGGGCCGGGGGCGATGGCCGGAGGCTCTGGGGACAGACAGCATAGGAAGTAGGTGCAGGATACAGGGGCTGTCTGAGGCTGTGCCAGGGGCAGAGCCTAGGTTTGGGGTGCTCACTACCACCACCACCTGTTGGAGACCACTACGAAGTGGCTCTGAGCAGGATTTAGTATTAACCAATGGCTTTCCGTGTTCACTTGTGCATCTGTCCAAGGCCCAGGCTCCTTACCTGGAAATGGCGGACTCATAGTAAGTCAACCTCTGTGAGTCACTAATCCCTACTAGAACCTGTAGTGGTGATGAAGCCAGAAAGCCTCAGAGGATAAGACAAGATCAGAGCCAAGGACACCTGGGTCAGATCACAACTAGATGAAGACTACAGCCTCAGGCATCTCAGTCTTCATTAACTGGATTAACTTCATACCTTACTTTGAGAAGTCCTTGAGTGGTTCTGCCCTTCTTGAGTACCCCCTCCCTTCTTCTGATAACCAAATGAATATGGGCGACCCAGAGAAGGTCGTGATCTTAGCCCTGAGAGAATCTTGAATTCTGTGAGAGGGCTTTGATCCTCCTGGAGCCCTGAAATCATTCCATTCCCCTCTTTTTATTTAGCCTTCGCCGTACACTCAGTCAGGAGATTGTGGATCTGACCAGCCCGCAATAACTAGGGGATATTATTAACACCATAACAACCCATCCTACAGAGCAGGAAAATGCTCCAGGGAGCCACCAACAGAGCCCCCAGGCTAGGAGTTCGGGCCTTCCTCAGCCCTGAGCCTGAGTCCCCCCAACCCTCTGGTCTGCGAAGCTCAGCTGCCCGCAGCCCTGCCCCAGGCTGAGGCCCGCGGGAGGGATCCCCCAGGTGATGGGCTGGAAAGAGAGTTGTGTTAGAGCACCTCTCCTTGTTTGACCTGTTGTGCACACTTTACACTAGCTCAATATGCAGGGTAGTGTGTGTGAAACATGCACGCAAATAAATATGCATCCTTTGAGTGTGCATCATCCAAACTTTGTACTAATGGGTTTCATGATCAAAAACCTTTGAAGACCATTGTTCTTGGCTCCTGACAGCCGGCATAGGCCAGCAACCCAAAGGGACTGGCTGAGGAAGGCAAGGAACACACCCTTCCCTGGTCCACCTACCGAAGACCTGGAGGTCACGGCCCTGCCGATCAGAGCCAGCAGAGTTGGATGCCAGGCAGAAGTAGTGGCCAGCATCCTGGGAGAGGACAGGCTGGATCCTCAGAGACCCATCAGTCAGAACCTCCATCCTGGAATGGAGGGAGAGGTTGCCATGGAGACCAACAAGTAGGGGGAAGAGCTGAGAGGGGCTGGACCTGGCTCCCTGCAAGAGGTGTCAGTCTGGGACTCCCTCACTCTGGATTTGGGAAGCCGTCCCTCCCAGCGCCACACTACACCATGTGATCCCGCCCCCAACCACAGCTGATTGGACCAGAGATGGACACATCACCCGGCCTGAGCCAATGGCCTTCTCTGCCCTGGGAACCTGGTCTAGGCGTTCACAGAGAGTGAGCTGAGGACTGAAGACTTGGGGGCCGTGGGGTTGTTGGGACAGTATTTGTCATGTTGACGGGGGAGGAAGGAGGAGGAGGAGAGGAAGAGAAGGAGAAAGAATGGAGAAGAGGGACGGAGGGAAGAAGGGAGAAGAAAAGAGAAAGCTCATATAAGGGGTGATCAAAATACATGGTATTTATTAAAATAAAAATATTAATTACAGTAAAGGACACATTGTCATGAGTTCTCCTCAAAATACACAGCGCCTTCAGAGGCACTCATCCCATCACCCTGCCGCTGTCTGAAGCAGTTCTGGAGTCCTCTTCCCTGAGTGTCTTTGTGAGGTATGATAAAAAATGTGGTGAATGCCGCTGCTGAGCGCCACCCAACGGAAAGTCAGGCTCATAAAGACACAGTGCTGTGTCCACATCCACCTTACTCCCTGGGTCTGGTACTGTGAGACTTCTGACTCCTCCCCAGGTCAAAATGACCGTGAAAGGTAAGGGTCGTGAGTGGATTCAGGACGTGGAACCTGCCAGGACCGCACAGCTGAAGACACTCAGGAAGGAGGACTCCAGAGCTGCTGCAGAAAGCAGCGAGAACAGTGGGTCGGTGTGCTCACAGAAAGGGGGAGGATTTCAAGGTGAATTCGTGAAACCGCTTTTTATTGCAATATATTTCAAACATGATTGATTCACCATATTTTTCGATCATATCGCATACACAGAAGCAGCGATTAGCAGAAGCTCGCTGGTCCCCGGGGTTCTCGAGGGCGCTAACCACTGGCTTGCTGGGCCTTGTCTTCTGAGTCACCCATGCCCAGATGACAGAGTCTTATTTCCGCTCCATCTGCCCTGGGTGTTCCTGTCTGCTGTCCACAGAGGTCCTGACACTCCCCAGTGCCCACCCCACCAGTGCCCACCTGGGTGCCCCGTCCAGTGGTACCCCATCCTTCCGCCAGCTCACAAGGGGCGGGGGCTCGCCAGTGACCCGGCATGGCAGCAGTGCCGTCTGGTTCACCGAGGCATTCACCGAACGTGGTCCCGGCTGGATGGCGGGCGCCACTGGGGAGGGAGCACAGGGAGGCGGACGGGCTTGGCAGCCTGCGGCTCCACGGGGCTGCAGTGGGGTGGGGTGGGTGCACTCACTGTGGATCTCCACGTGGAAGGCCACGCTGGTGCTGCCCGCCTGGTTGCGGGCCGTGCAGCTGTAGTGGCCGCTGTCGGCCGCACTCAGGTCCTGCAGCTGCAGGAATCTGCCGTGCTCCGGGAACTGGGTGTGTGTGTCCGCCTGCAGAGGCCCAGGGTGCAGAGACCACCACGCACCGTCAGCACAGCCAGCAAGGGAACCCCAGGAGTGAGGGAGGCGTGACGGGGCTTCTGCCCATCCAACTACAACCCTGTCCCGTTGCGCCCTGAGCTCCTCCTAGAAGCCAGACTTTTCTGGGGGAGCGGGCACCCCACCCCTGAAGCTCCAGGCCGAGCACATAACCCTAGAGTCCAGCTGTCAACTGGCCCACGTGTGTGATGAGCACATAGAGCCTTGTGACTCTAGGTGTGACTCCTGCCGTGCCTCAGTGTCCCCCACCCAAGTGACAGTAATGACGGGGGTAAAGGTCTCCACACAGTAGGAAGGCCAAGTGCTGCTCAGAGCAGGCTCAGTGCCCAGCACCCACCCAGCCAGGGCCTGGGGTCCGGCAGTGCCCCGGCCGGGCACCCACCTGCAACAGGACGCCGTCTCGGTGCCACTCGATCTCGGGTGCTGGCTCTGCCTCCACGGAGCACTCCAGGACCAGCTGCCCCGGGGCCAGGCCGACCACAGCGCGGGGACCCCGGGGCCCAACCACGTTTGGAGGGGCTGGGGGCGTAAGAGGACATGAGAGGGAGCCCCCTCCTACAGGCCCCGTCCTGTCTCCACCTGCACACCCCCTACCTTGAACTCTGACCCGGAAGCTCTTCTCAGCCTCGCCCGCAGGGCTCTCGGCCAGGCAGGTGTACAGCCCTGCGTCACCCACCTGGGGACAGAGCAGGATGAGCAGGGGACCGGCTCCAGCCTGCCGGGCTCTGATCTGGTTTCCTGCTGTTCCGCCAAGGGCTCTGGATTCCCCCGGGGCCTGCAGAGGTTGTCTTTCCACCTCCCAGCCAACCAGGCCTCTCTCTGGACTTCTACCTTGCTTTAGGGCTAGTGCAAGGCTGCCTCTTCCGGGAAGGCCCCCTGGCCTGCACCAGCCCAGATGGGAAGTTCTCTGGTTTTTGTGTCCGCTGTGGCTCTGGTGTTAGGGAGCTTCCAAGGGCGGGACTAGGGGGCCATATCTACATCCTCACACCCCACAAAGAAGAAGAGCTGGAAAAAGCTTGGCAGCTGCCCACCAGCCCCAAGGAAGCCGCAGCACCCTCCTCTCCCCACCCCACCGCACTCCCATCCCATCCCAGCACCTGCATGCGCTCCACGCGGAACACGCGGCCAGCTCGGCTGCTGTCCTCCGGCCCACGCAGGACCTGCCCGTCCTTATGCCAGGTGACATTGGGTGGGGGGATGCCGCGGGCATCACACAGGAGCTCCATGGGGGCGCCGGCCGTCAGCGACAGCTCTGCAGGCTGGCCTGAGTCCTGGATGCGGGGTGGGTCTGCAGGACGGCTTTGGTCAGCCGCAGCCCGGGGCTCCTCTCCCTGTCCCCATGATGGGACAGCCGAGCATGGGGACAGGGGGCCCCTCTCCTCCTCTTCACCCTCTACCCAGATACAGACAGACAGAAATATCAGGGCCAGGGCCCCATCTGCCAGGGACAATCCCTTGGGCTTTAAAACCAACAAGCAAGGCAGGCGTGATGGTGCATGCCTGGCATCCTAGCACACTGGGAGGCTGAGGCAGGAGATTGCAAGTTTAAACCCAGCCTGGGCAACTTAGCAACTTAGCGAGGCTCTGTCTCAAAATATACAAAAAAGGGTCTGGGACATAGCTCAGTGAAAAGGCTCTGGGTTCCATCCCCAGCACTGCAAAAACAAGAACAAGTCCACAAGACACAGCATGGGGGGTGCGACAGGCAGACACGTCCCCCGTACAGCCTGACACTGAGCTCTCATGAGGCCTTGGGCTCTTAATTGTGCAACTCCCACCAAGACCACGGGACACGGCCCTGGGAGGATCCAACGTGCCGATCACTGTCCCCCAGGGAACTGTCCCACCTGAGCCCAGCCCCACCCTGACCCACCCCAGGCGGCCACCCAAGCGTCCTGTCTGCTTCCTCCATGCAACCAGACTGAGGACCGGACGCACCCATCACGGTCAGCCGGAAGTGCCTCCTCGCCTCCCCCGCCTCGCTGGTGGCCATGCAGGAGTAGGTCCCCGAGTCGCCGGCTCCCACTCTCTCCAGCTGCAGGCCAGGCCCCTGCTCCAGGCTCTGGGGCAGCAAGGGCTCCCCGTCCTTCATCCAGGACACGAGGGGCAGGGGGCTCCCCCGGGCCTCACACGGCAGAACCACAGAGGAGCCAGGGGCCACCACCACATCGCCCTGGAAGTCTGCCGGTTCCAGGATGGGGGGCACTGTGGAGGACAGGGGTGGGAAGGGGCCAGCTCCCCCAGGACCTTGGCACGGGCTCTCCCTACCCGCCAGGTGCCCTGCTCCTGGAGCGCTCCTTCTCATCGAAGTTCCCTGCGGTCCCCAAGGCCAGGGAGTCCCTGCCCCGGCTCCCACAGCAGCATCCTCTCCTTCCTGGGGGAGCTGCCCGGCCCTGTACCCTGGCACCTGGTGAGGCCCTGGCGCCTTGGGGTGCCCAACCACTACCAGCGAGACAAGCGGCTGAGCAGTCGAAGGAATCAAAGACCAAGTCGCTGAGTGTGTCCTGCCCAGGGACCCAAGGGCTGCCCTTGGTCCCACCCAGACAGGCCGGAGGGCCGCGGTCCTCATCCTCCCCACCTCCCGAGACCCAAGGACCCGCCTGCGCCCCTGCTCCTTACCGAGCACCTGCAAGGTGAAGTTCCTGCTGGCCACGCCGGCCAGGCTCACGGCCACGCAGGTGAAGGTGCCCGAGTCTGCCAGCTGCACCTGGGAAATCCTGAGCCGCCACCCCGAGAGGGGAGACGGACACGGAGGAAGAGAGGTGCAGGCTGACGGAACGCCCCAGCGAGGCCCCGTCTCCTCCCGCCTTCCCTCAAAGCGGGGACTGGAATGCAGAGCAGAGTCCCGCCTCCGCGCCCACCTCTCCTGCCTCCGGGTGACCCTGGCCGAGCCCCCTCCCACCTCCTCCGCGCCACCTCACCCTGAGGTGGAGCCCCGCTTCCAGAGCTCTGGAAGCTTGGCCAACCCATTGCCGGGACAGGGCTGGCCTGCTTGTCCTCCTTCTGGACCGCCCCTCTGTCCTTATCCCCACCAACTGGCCCCCACCTCCTCTTTTTTTTTCTTTGTCTTTTTTGAGACAGAGTCTCGCTATGCAGTTCAGGCTGAACTTGAGCTCACTTTGTAGCCCAGGCTGGCCTCGAACTCGAAACAATCCTCCTGCCTCAGCCTCCCGAGTGCTGGGATGACAGGCGTGCACACCATGCCCGGCCTCCACCTCCTCTTGAAGCCCCCTTCGTGTCCCCATGTCCCCTCCTAGATGCTCCAGTGAGGACCACAATGCCGAAGCCAACTGTCACTCCTGGCCTCGCTCCCCTCATGGCCTGCCCCGCCATACCCGCTCCCTGGCTCCAGACCATCCTAACCCAGCAGCGGGGCACAGTCCACACTGCGGCCAGTCCTGGCTTCCAGCACTGCCCGGTGACCATCCTGGCACCCACGTTCCCAAGTTTCCGAGTGGGGGCATGAGTGAGGGCGTCTGCTACCCACGGGTGTGTGAGAGCCTCTCCGCCACCCCAGTCACCAGAGTCAGCACGGGGTCTCTTTGGCCAATCCCACCACGGAGGGATGCAGACAGAGCCAGGGCTGGGACTGTCGGGCTCTCCTGCGGGGCTTCACAGAAGCCTCTGCCACGACCTCCGGTTTGCCCAGGAAATACTCGCAGAGGTTGTCTGCCCAATAAGGACAACCCTAGGCCTGCACCACCTTGATTATGAATCCTCTGAGCACAGATGATTGTGTCAAAGTCACAGATGTCACTCTTCTCATTTTGTCTCTCAACGATGCCTTTTGCCTCAACTTCTTTCCATTTACATGGTCCTGGGGATTTATTTGATCCTGGACCTTCACACTGAGCTACCTCCCCAGCTCTTTTTATTGCTTATTTTAAGACAGGCCCTCACTAAATCTAAGTTGCCTGGGCTGGGCTCAAATTTGTGATCCTCTTGCCTCAGCCTCCTGGTTGTGAATGTGCTTAATGCTACTTCCCTAGACACTTAGGCCTGGTTAAGATAAGAACATTTGTGTTACATGCTTTCACCACAAGAAAAAAAAAAAAAATTACCAGCCTCACCATGAGCCCTCTGCACTGAAAAACCCTCCCAGGCTTCCCAGCTCTTAGCAAAACCCCAGTCCTTCTGGGGCCTATATGGCCTGGCCCTGTCTTTCCCTGTCTGCCCCAGGACCTTTGCACCTGCTGCTCCCTCTGCCCAGATCCTCTTCCCCATAGAACCCAACTTCCTCCCCTTGCCTGCCTGAAATAAACAGTGTCCTCCACTGCCACCCCTATCTCTCTGCTTTCTTCTTCTTCAAAATACATCTTAGCCAGGGATATAGCTCAGTGGCACAAGTGCCTGCTTGGCAAGCACAAGGTCCTGAGTTCGATTCCTGGTACTCCCCTTAAAAAAAAAACAAAACAACAAAACCCACCAAAGCACATCTTCACTTTTGCATCTGTTTCTTCCCATCCCAGGCCTGGAACATTAAGCAGTCCCTGTGCTGTTGAATTAGGCACCTTCTCCCAGGAAGCCCTCCCTGATTTCCTCCACCTGGCCAGGAGACTTGGGGGCAATCAGGCATCACGACCTGGTTTTGTGCCTGTCGGAGTCTTTTCGCTGTCCCCGCTATGAACCTCTGTGTGTTTATGTTATTCTAAGACACAGGCAGCCTCTCCCCTACCTGAGAGTGCGGCCTGTACCGTGGAGTTGGGTGCGCTGGGACAGGGGCAGCGGCAGCCCGTCCTTGAGCCAGCTCACGTGGATGGGCGGGGAGCCCCGGGCCGGGCACGCCATGGTCACCAGGTCCCCGGCCCTGCTCACCAGCGTCCCTGTGCCGCCTGCCTCCTGCTCGATGGTGGGAGGGACTGGAGGTGGAGAGAGCGAGAGAGCTGACAGGGAGAGGCCCCTCCCAGGAGCCGGCAGCAGGTGGCACCCGGCCCTGGACTGTGCCGCCTGAGCCATCGTAGTCAGGGGCTCCTGGAGACCTGTCACCTAGCTAAGGGACAAGGCCAGCTGTGTGCAGGTACCCTGTTCCCGTCCCATCCCCTGCACCCCGACTCCTGCAGTGCCCTGGCCAGGGGGCACCTAGAGTCGAGGACTGAGGCTGGGAGTCCCGGGGTGCCCCCACGTGGGTGTGGCCGGGGTTTGAACCTAGGTCTCCTGCATCCTGCTGCGGCCCACTCAGCACCTCCTGGTCCCCACAGAGAGAGAGAGACCCCCGTTGGTCAAGCTGCCGTGACCTCGGTGCCCATGTCCCCTTCTGTGCCTCACCCAGCACGGTGACCGCGTGCAGCCTGGCATCCTCCCCGGCTGAGTTGCGGGCCACGCAAGTGTAGGCGCCAGAGTCGGAGGCCCGCAGGCCCTTGAGCACCAGCGAGCTGCCGTCCAGGTAGAACCTGCGCGGGAGGAGTTGTGGAGGCGGGGATGCACGGCGGGTTGCTGGCCTATCCCCTGGGGTGGGCACGGCCGGTCTTACCGGAGGTGGGGGCCCACGCCCTGCTGCAGCGGGGCGCCATCCTTCAGCCAGACCACGTCGGGCGGCGGCTGCCCCTGGGCCTCGCAGTCCAGCCGCGCCTCCTGGCCCTGCAGCAGGCTGTGCTCCTGCGGCGCATCCGAGCTCCGGATCCGGGGAGCCTCTGCGGCAGGGGTGCAGTGAGGCAGTGCGGGCAGCCAAGGGGTGCGGCTCCGGGAGGGGGTCAGGGCGTGGACCTACCCAGCACGGCCACCACGAAGTCCTTGCGGGCCTCGGCCTGGGCGTTCTCGGCCACGCACGTGTAGGTGCCGGCCTGGGAGGGCTGCAGGCGGCTCAGCTGCAGGCGGCCGCCCCGGGAGACCACGCCGTGCACCACGCTGCTCTCTGGGGGACAGGGCGGGGCTCTGAATCCCTCACCCTCTTCTTGTGCCCACAGGGAAACTGAGGCCCAAGGGGCAGGGCCTCCTTGTACATCACCTTCCTCGGCCCTGTCTCTGATGGCTCTGTTCCTTACAGTGGTCCCCAATTTCCTTCCACTGGGGACACTTCTTTCTGAGGGGCCCATGCCCTGGGAGGCCCAGGACCCAGGCCGTGCCCTCGCCTCCCCTCCCCGCCCCCAGCTAGCAAGGCCTTGGTCAAGGCAAACCAGCCCCTCAGACCTCACCAGCTGCGCACTGCCTCTTCCTTCTGTCCGGCCACAGCTCTGCCCCAAAGCCGTCTCTACCTGCACAGCTGGCTGCCCCCACCCCACCTGCCCTGCACGCTCTGAACCCGCTGCCTTTCTGGACGAACACACAGAGGACCACGGCCGAGCACGGGCAGCACCTCAAGTGCGGAGGGAAGGGGCCCAAGAGGCAGCTGGGTGGGGACTCCACATAGGAACCACAGGGCCTGCAGCGACTCTGCCCTGGGATCCACCTCAGAGGAAGGAAAACAGGAGCAGGGACCGACACGAGCCCCCAGGTACTGTTCACACGGCCGGGTGGAAGAGACCAGCGTCCCAGGCTGCCAGAAACGCACTAGGGATGTTGCCACAAAACAGCCAGCTCAGCCCTCAGACGTGGGTGAAGGGAAATCATTCAGTCCTTAAAAGGAATGAGTACCAGGCCGTGCCACGGTACGGAGGGCCTTGAGAGCATCGTGCCAGGCGCAGTGAGCCAGCTCACAAGGCCGCTCACGGTGTGTCCCAGGTGTGTGACACATCCAGAATCAGCAACTCTACAGTCGGGTGCAGACTGGTGGCCACCAGGGTCTGGGGCCGGGGAGTGTGGGCAATGGCTACAATGGCTAAAGCGATGGCAAAACAGGGCTTGGGGCGATAAACACATCTAAAACTGATTATGACGCCAGGCATGGTGATGTACACCTGTAATCCCAGCACTCAGGAGGCTGAGGCAGGAGGATCATTGCAAGTTCAAGGCCAGCCTGGGCTACAAAGTGAGCTCAAGGGCAGCCTGAACTGCATAGCGAGACCCTTTCTCAAAAAGACAAAAAATAAAATAAAATAAAATTGATTATGGCAGTGGTTGCTCAACTCTGAATACGTTAAAAGTCACTGAACTATGTGCTTTAAAGGAGCAAATTGCAGTTTATTACATTAAGTGAGTAAATTGCAGTTAATTAAACCTGGGGGGGCTGATTTGCAAGGGTCTGAAGCATGGACTGGGACAAGGACAGGTAGCTGTCAGCGCAGGGACCTCGTGGCCACACCCTGAGGACTGTCCGTGGCCACCTCAGAGCGGCACCTCGAGACCCTTCTACCCCAGGCCCAGGAGACCAGCACGGGGCACGGTGGTGCCCTGAGTGGGGCAGCTGGGAGTACAGTGCAGCGGTGGGCAGCGGGCTTCCCCAGCTGGCAGAGGGGGTTTGAGCCGAGTGAGGTGGGGGGAGGGGAAGCCTGCTGTGTGGAGGCTACAGCAGCCAGGAAGGGCAGAGCGGAAAAGCTGCAGCTGCAGGTCAGCACCTGGCCCAGAACAGCCAGCCGGGCTTTGTGTCAGTCCACGTCGGCCCTGCACAAAATAGAAGCTGTGCCCGCATGTCTGTCTGTCTGTATTTACTGTGCTTCTGGGGATTGAATCCAAGGTCTTCACACCGAAGTACATCCCCAGCCCTTTTATGAGACAAGGTCTTGCTAAGATAAATTGCCCAGGCTGAGCTCGAACTTGCAGTCCTCCTCTTTAGCCTCCAGAGTGCTGGGATTGCAGCAGATGACAACTCTTAGCATATCATTTTTTTGTTTTGTTTTTGTTTTTGTTTTTTTCCGGTACCAGGAATCGAACTCACGACCTCATGCTTGTGCCGCTGAGCTAAATCCCCAGCCCCCGCATATCATTTTTAAGATAGAATACTTTTCGTCTTAGTACAAGCCTCAAAATGTGTCTTGAGTAACATCCCGGAGGGGTTGTAAAAAGTTAACTTTGTTTGCAGTTAACTTTGCCCCGGAATGCTTCTCCGAAGATAAAGAACACCCGGGCCCAGATAATCATCTATGACCCTGCCTGGATTGTTTGATCCCTTCCCTGGCCATAGTTAGACATTGTGACCATAAAGGAATGTATGGTTAGAAGAAGGGAAACAAACAGAGCAGAGGGTGGGAAGTATCCATCATAACGGCTGAGCTCATGACCAGGGCCTTATCCGGCCACACAGAACAAATAAAACAGGGGCTGGGGATTTAGCTCAGCGGCAGAAGCGCCTGCCTGGCAAGCGCAAGGTCATGAGTTCGGTTCCCGGTACAATAGTGGCCACCTGAGTCAGTGGCTGTCATGGGCCATTCTGTCACCATGGAAACAAAAGAATATCTAAAGTTGAAACAAGGACAGAGCCGACATTTCCCGACCTGCTAGTCGGGGATGTACGGTGACCAGTCTAAATTCCATAAACTCTGTTTACCCTAAAATTGAATCCTTCGGTCTTCTGTGGAAATCAGCCCGTCTGCTGTCACAGGATGACAGGCAGATAAACACCCACTGGACTAGCACGGGTCTTCTGTCTTCTGGGAGCGGGGAGGGAGGAGGAAGGAAGGGAGTGGTTCCCCATGTCTGGATTCCAAGAACCAATCAGACTCCAAAGACAGATGGGGCGGGGCCTCCAAAAGGGGTGGGGCCTCCACTGGATCCTGCCTTTTGATTTTGACGGGAGCATGGACAGCCAACAACTTCCGTCTTCATTATGAATGTCTTGACTAAAAGAATATTTTGCACTCAAGAGTTAAGAAGAGCACGTCGTACTCACCTACAGGCATTCTGTCCTTCAGCCAAGTTACAGCAGGTGCAGGGACTCCAGACACATCACAGGTCAGGACCAGGGGTCTCCCAGCCACCTGGCTCACTGTCTCTGTCTTGGGATTCTCAAATGTTGGGGGCACTGCAGGAAAGAAGCCACATTCCTGGAATCCTGAGACTTCCCCCTTCCCTTCTCTCAGGCAGATCAGCAAGCCCTTCCTTGGAGCCAGGCGTTCGCATTCTATGCTCTGCCACTGATGGTAATGATTGCTTTATTCACAAATGCAGCTGTAAGCAGCAGCTGGTTGTTTCAGAGCATCTACAGAGCAGAGCCCAAATGGGTCCACTTAGCCCAAGGATGGTGAATGCATGGCTCATGCACCCGCAATCCTTAACCTGTGTCAGGACGGACATCACTAATCAATCCCAGAGCTCTTCTGCTCAGCCAGGATGAAGTTGTGCACCTAAGCAGACCTTACTAGTGGAATGTGTTGGCCGGGATCAAGATGACATATCTTTTCCCTTTAGGACCAGAGATTCTCAACTTCCCCCTGCTCATGGAGGAAGCCATGCACTTGGGGCAATAAGCCTGGTACTGAATTATTAAAAATATATTCAGTATGGCTGTATTAAGAATATATTCAGTATGGCTGTATTAAGAATATATTCAGTATGGCTCAGGGTGAGATACACCTGCTGCTCCCTGGTTGGGAGGCTGCTGGCAGATGGGGTGCTCCACCCCATCCTGTTTTCCTATCATGGACAGCAGAATTTTAGCTAAGCACCTGGTTGTGCAAGAAAAAACTACACTTCCCAGCCTCCCTTGCAGTACAGTGGCCAGCTCCCTGACCCCTTGTCCACAGAACACAAGTGGAAAAGACAGATACGCTTCTGCATAACACAAAGGTCGGCTCTCTGCTCCTTTCTGCTTCCTGCAGTTAAGGACAGGATGCAGTGCGTCCCAGCTTCAATACAGGAGCAGGGACAACACCTTCAGAGATGGAGGAGCAACAAGATAGAAGGAACCTGTGTGGGTTCTCTCAAATTACAATATGGAGCTGGGGGAACCCCACTAACCCAAGCACTCACCTCTAGGCTTTTGCCTAAGAGGAAACTTCTCTCTCATTTAATCCATTGTACTTTGGGGACTGTTTGTTACACAGTTAAGTCTATACACTAGCTGACACATATCTGACCCCAGAAAACCTGGCCAGCTACCCAGACTGATGAGCCAGCCTCCTCTCCACACCAGCGTGAGGTACATATCCAATCAAATGCCATTCATCTAAGTTGCATTCTTGGGCTGATGCCCTACAACCCTTAGAGCCCAAGACAGAGTGGTGTGGCCCCAGGGCTCCAAGTGCCTGTTATCTCAGGCTTCATGCTAGGACTGGCTACCAGACCCTGTGCCCAGCACTCTGCAGCAGATCTGCTGCCTCCAGGGTGCCCAGCCAGCAGGCCCTGCTTCTAGACCAAACTTGACTCATGATAAACCATAGGGCCAGGGGGACAGTCACCCCACAAAGCAGGTCTCCAATAGGACTCTGCCCTTTTAATTTCCAGATCTTGTGCCCATTACCGGTGGCACCACTGCATGCTTGTAGCCCAGGTGCTGCTGGGGTGGTGGGTCCCGGCCACATCGGCCTGGCTGGGCCCAACTTACCCTGGACGGTGAGGACAAAGGTCCGCGTGGCCTCCCCAGCAGCATTGCTGACTTTACAGCTGTATGAACCTTTGTCGGACACCTGGAACAGGAAAAGCATGTGGTGATGGGGTGCATGGAGCTGGGATGAGAGCTCCCCTAAAATATCCAGCTCCCAGAAGTCTTCAGGGCAGGGACTCCCCAAATCTACTGGTTCTGCTCAGGAGCTAAAGGGAGCCAGGAACTTCTGGCCTTTCCCAAGAGCCCCAAGAGACAGGAAGGTCCTGGAAAGTGAGTACACAGGGTCCCCCAAAGACCTTTCAAAAACTCCTCCCCCAGGGCCAGTCCCAGCAAGAAGGAGCTGGAGAAAACTTCTAGATCTGGGGAAACTGAGGCAGGCAGCAGGGAAGGGACCTGCTCAGTAGAGGTCAGTGCAGGCACCGCGCTGGCCTCTAACTCTCGGGAGCCCATGTGCTTCCCTGGTCTCCACCTGGAGGCCACACATCTGTCACCCCTTCCCCAGGCCTCCGCCCTTCTGCCCACGGTCGCCCACCTGGGACGCCAGGATCTCCAGCCTCTGTGTGTTATGCAGCGCCTGCACCCTTGGCCCCAGGGCCAGGGGCTGCTGATCCTTGTACCAGGACACGACTGGCTCTGGGAGCGAGTCTGTCTCACAGTTAAGGACGGCCTTCTCCCCGGCGCGGACGAGGATCGCCTCCTGGGGGCGGTCAGGAGCCTGCCTAAAGGTGGGGGGCACTAGGGACATGAGACAGCCCAGTGACTCACTGCAGCCTCCTGGGTCCCCCTAAGTCCTCCCAGGTGGCACCTACGGAGCCCTGCAGAGTCACACAGCAAACCTGACCCTGGAGAAAGAACCAGGCCAGTATGGCAGGACCTGCCAGGCGGTAGGGGCAGCCTCGCACCCTCTGTGGGCCTCAGTCTCCTTCAGGTAGCTGCTTGAGGCTCTCCTGGGCTTCTTCCCACAAGGGGCCACCTCCAGCTGGGTGGAGCCCTCCGTGGTCCCCCCTACTGCCATCACTCTGTCCCCTACTCTGAGACCGCAGGACCCGGCACGGTCCACCCCACATAGCAGGTGAGCGCATGAGTGAATGAACCAGCTCAGGGCTGCAGGGAGGCTTCTGGGAGCCCCGGCTGGTGACCCTGGGGACAGCTTTCCCCAAGGAGGACCCCAAAGACATGAGCCGTCACAGTCTCCACGCTGAGAACCCAGGACCACATGAGCTCGGGAGGAAAGGGTCCCTTCCTGGGCCTGGCCCTCGGGGTCCATCTCCTCAGCTTGACCATCATCCACGCTTCCCAGGAGCTCACACTGGGCTGACGGCTGCACAAACTGCCTCAGGTTACAGACGGGACAGCCAGGGCTCAAAGAGGGACAACAGCTTCCCTTAGGTCACGGAGCTGTTCCCAGCCCGACTTGTCCAGCTCCTGAGACTACTGCCTTTGCCTCGGGGGCAGATGGTGCCACTGGGCACTATTCCTTCACAGGCTGGGGGCCAGGGGTGTCCCAGCCCCACCCAGAGGCAATCTCGCCTCCCGACCGCTCTGCTGCCCAAGGGAGTGGCGGACACTGCAGGTGGGGACGGGGCGTACCCAGCACGCTGAGCTCCACCACTTTCTGGTCACGGCCGGCTGCGTTGAGAGCCTCGCACAGGTAGGTCCCGGAGTCTGAGGGCTGCACCCGGGGCAGCCGCAGCGTGTGGGTGCCTGCGGGGAGCCAGCCCCTCACACCAGCCCCCAGCCGCCCACCCAAGACCCCTCCCAGACACACAGCCTGTCCCAGGTTCAGGGAAGCAGCTGTGGCTCCCCACAAGCCTCAGTTTACCCACCAGGCAGGAGGAAAACCTCTTCCCCCAGGGACAGGGCCTCGCTGTCCTTGTACCAGGTGACCTCGGGGGCCGGGTGAGCAAGGACCTCACAGGGGAGGGAGATGCTGCTGTTGAGGATGGCGGTGACCTGCTCCAGGTTCTGGCCTGTGATTCGTGGTGGCACTGTCCCCCCAGCCACAGGGGTGAAGAAAGATGTGAGATTGATGTGGGCGGGGCAGAGAGCCAGGGGTGAGACCCTGAGAGCGAAGACACCTCCAAACAGCCCAGGCGGAAAGCTCCCCTCCCCATGAACACGCAGGGACTCAGAGATCAGAGAGGGGCAGCCACGCTTCCAAGGCCGCACAGCAGTCAGCGGCAGAGCCAAAATATCCTTCCAGGCTCTGACTATGGCACTCAACACCGTCCCTCCCACCCCCGAGCAACTGCTCTCCCCACGCAAGCTCCGAGGCTGCAGAGATGGACAGCAGACCAGGGGTGCTGAGGTGCTGCCTCCCTCCTCTGAGTGTATCGCAGCTCTATAGCAAGGGGTCGCCCAGGAAAAGCCCTCAGCCACGTCACGTACACAGTAAGTGCTCAATAACGGTGCTGGACGGCTGGGAAGTGCGGTCCCTGGCCACCTCCAGTGTTGCTTGCAAGCATCAGGGGTTGGCCCAGTGGTGACCAGGGTCCCCCTCAAATGCTCTCTGTCCTGGGATGCTGCTGGGGCCCGGCTGGGATCCCTGAACCCCGAGTCCCAGATCCCTCTTAGGGAGGGACGCAGAACGGGTAGGGCCGCCCGCTCTGCCCTCTCACCTTGGACCCTGAGGGTGAACAGCTTCTCCGCAGAGCCCGCCTGGTTCTCGGCCACACACATGTAGCTGGCAGCGTCGGCCACTTCTGCCGTGGACACCTGGGGGAGCCGCCCCAAAACGGTCCCTCTACCCCATAGCTGATGTGACCCCAGGGTGCTCACGGAGAGCAGGTGGAGCCCCCGTGTGGACGCCTGCTGGGGCTTTGTGGACATCTGGGGTTGTCATGGGCTGGGCTTGGGGAGGACTGCTGGGGGCTGGGCTGGCCTCCGGGGTCCTGTGCAGCCCCGTGTGTGGACACTGGTTGGTGGCTGAGAGGGGCCGCTGGTGCCCTACGTGTGGCCAGGCTCTGTCTGAGGCCACCACTTCCCACAGCAGCTCTGGACCCACTAGGCCCCAGCTACAGTGTGCACACTCCCCCTCTGCCGGTGTCCTCTGAGCTCACGGGGCCGGGCAACCCACCTTGCTGGGCAGACAAGACCGCAAGCCGCGGCGGAGAGCCTGCAGGGCAGCCCCGGGACGCCTGCAGCCTGGGTAGCACTGTCCTACCTGCAAGACTTGCCCGTCCTCCAGCACCTGCAGCCGTGGGCTCGGGGAGAGAGGCAGCCCGTTCTGCAGCCAGGACAGGGTGGGCTCCGGGTTGCCCAGGGCCGGGCACCGTAGGCTGACAGTGCTGCTGGCGTTGACGGTCACCTCCTCCACCAGCTCCTCAGTGTCACCCAGGATCACAGGCGGGGCTGGGTCAGGCACAGGAGGGTGAGGAGCGGCACTGGGTGCCAGGCGCTGGCGGGGGCTCCGCACCCTGCTCACCAAACCCTCCCAGGTCTGGTTGTAGCCAAGGAATCCACAGCACAGAGAAGGCTGTGGTTTGCTCACGGTCACACAGCCGGGACTTGAATGTGAACCAGTTCTGCCTGCTGCAGAGCCCAAGAAAGCAACCCCACTGGGAATCTCAGGGTCTGGGAGGGCTGAATGCCCGGACTGGGCCCCTCAGAGCGAGCCCTCGTGGGGCCTGCAGTCCCCAGACTCCCTGTGCCCCCGGGCCAGGGCCACTCACTCAGCACCAGCAGCTCGTAGTGCAGCCAGTCCTCGCCCACCTCGTTGGCGGCTTTGCAGGAAAACCTCCCAGCATCCTCCGCCCGCACCAGGGACAGCTGCAGGACCCGGCCGCCTGCGGGCACAGGACGGAGGCCTGGGCTCAGGACAAGACTCCTGTTCCCACCGAAGAGCAAGCCACAGACACGTCACCCTCCCCGCCTCCTCTGTGAAACAGGGCCCTGCGGCCTGCCCTGCCCAGCTTGTGGGTGAAGAGAAACCTAACCCCTTCCCACTGTGCAGCTGCCAGCTTGCTGTGTGCCAGGCCCTGGGCACAGTGTTTCTCCGTCCATCTGCTGCTGCCATCCCATCATACAGATGGAGAAACTGAGGCTTCCCCCAGGGGCCAGCAGGACAGTGGTAAGTATAGATTCTGGTGTCCAAGGAGGCTCCTGAACCTGTAGCCACTGTAGGGCTGTCACTTGGGACCTTCTGTGACCCAGAGCCAGGCAGGGACAGAACCTGGCATAAAGCAGTGGCTGGAGCCGGCCTCTAGCTGATGCTGGGTTAGGGTCACAGCGTGGCTTGACCCAGAACGAACCAGGGGTTCCCATGCAGCACTGGGGGGCAGTGGTTCGCAATGAGGGGTTGTCAGTCAGGGTCAGAACTCAGGCTAGCTGATAGCCATGGCCATGATGTGCTCAGGATCAGGGCTTCGTGGCCAGGGTCAGAGGTCCAGGTGAAATGTCAATGCTAACGGCCCAGAGGAGGGTGGGATGAGCGGCTGGGGTCTGGCTTTGGTTGACAGCTGGGACAGACCCAAGGTCAGAGTCCGCACTATGGATCTGACAGTGGCTGAGCTTCCTGGGAGTAGGTTGAAGAAGCCCCTGGGAGTAGGCAGGGGAAGAGGTTGTTTCCAGAGCTGCTAACAGGAACCAACAGCTGAGACACCTCTTTCTTTGCAGGTGCCAAAGCACCAAGCTTGGTACACCTCTGCTTATAGGGGGCCAGCACAACTGACCCAGGTCCCCTTTCCAGCACCACTGTGGTCCAGAGTGACAGGACACGGTGTAAATGCTAAGCCAGAGACCACACAGACCTTCTCTGAAGGTTGGTACCACCAGCACCGGCTGGCACCTGGTCCACTGGGAACCAGGAGCCACGTGGGGAGGCCAGGAATTTCTAGCCCTTCCTTTGGAGCCTTGGAATGCAAAATCACCCGGGTCACACGGCAGGTAGCACTCCGTGCTGAATCTACCTTGCAACACGGAGACCCGGTCGTCGGTGGCGGAGAGGGGCTGGTCCTCCCTGTACCAGGTGAGCTCGGGCGGTGGGACTGCGTTGGTGTCGCAGTACAGGTAGGCCGGGTTGTTTTCCACCACCTCTCGGTATTCCGTCACCTCGCCCCGGGCCTCCTCCTCCTGGGACAAGGTCTCAAGGGTGGCACTGGGCTCGCCCACCCTCTGGAACATAGGCGGCACTGGGCAGGAGGGACAGTGCTGTGAGGAGACGCAGCCACCGCACACAGGTCTGCTCCCAGACACCTGGCCAGCACGGGAGGTGTGCAGTTCCACACGGGAGCCGCTCCCTCCGGTCAAGGAATTGTTAAATCCAATGCGCTGCGCACTTACTGAGCAGCTACTACGTGCCGGGGCCAGGACGAGTTTCCTACCCCACAGAGCCCTTGTCTAACAGCCGCCAAAGCCTCCTTGTAACTTGGGGACATTTGTCAGCCCAGAGGTTGTGGAAGCATTGCTTATCAGGCCGCGTACAGGGTTACAACATCGGCAGCTTCTAGAGCTGGAAGGGGCCCCAAGGCCGTCCGCTTTGATCACCTGCTACGGCCGGAGAGGACAGTGACACCCTTAGTCCCTCAGCCCGTGAAGGACAGAGCCAGGGCAAAGGGTCCGGCTGGCCCGGAGGCACCAGACGCGGAGAGGGTGCTCCTTCTGCCGCGCCTCGCAGTAAAAGCTGGCCGACCGCTGCCTGGCTTGGCCAACAGTGCCTCCTTCCTGTCTCCCTCCCTACTTCCTTTGCTTCCTTCAGAGGAGCCCCCACGCACCCCAGCAGCCTCAACACTTTCTGCCTTAGGCTCCTCCACCCACTGTCCCCGGGGTTCCTGACAGAGCCAGCAGGCCTGCCAGGTTAAGAGCACGGTTTTCTTTTGTTTTTTTTTTTCTTTTTTGTTTTGGTTTTTCTCCGGCACCGGGAACCGGACTCACGACCTCGCGCTTGCCAGGCAGGCGCTTTTGCCGCTGAGCTAAATCCCCAGCCCCTGAGAGCACGGTTTTCGCTCCATCCGGCCCATTCCCGGTTTAATCCTGCGACGGGGGAGAGCGCCCCCTGTCGGCCACAGTGGTGACACGCACCCTGGATGAGCACGTTGAAGTCCTGGTCGTCTTCCCCGGCCACGTTAGTGGCCACGCACAGGTACCGCCCCGAGTCCGAGACCCGTGTGGGCTGGATCTGGAGCAGGCGGCCCTCGCCCAAGATGCGCAGGTGCTGGCCAGGGGTCACGGGCTGGGGGACAGAGGGGAAAAGGAGAGGGGACAGAAACGGGCAGGAAGCACGGGGGTGAGTACTCACATTTTAATAGTTTTAAAAACACAGTATAAAGACACAGGAAGACCTTGACTTTGTCAAAGCAAATCCACATAGCCTAGAGGCTGGGCGTGATGGGGTAAAGACAGTGGCATTTAGTGCTTGTGAGACTTGCCCCTATGAAAAGTTGGATTAAAAAATAAGGTTGTTGGCATAAGCGCCTGCCTGGCAAGTGCAAGGTCCTCAGTTCGATTCCTGGTACCGGGGGAAAAAAAAAAAAAGGCTGTGCTGGGTTCACCAGGGCAGGCCTGTGATCCCAGCAGTCTGGGAGGCTGAGAGGCTGAAGCAGGAGGGTCATAACTTCAAGCCCAGCCTGGGAAACTTAGCCATATTGCTGATGTTTGTGGTTTATTAAAAGGAACGGTCCATGTTTAAAATTTTCTTTTTTCCTGACCAATTTTGTACACTTGAATATGGTAATCAGCACGGCTTATTTGAAAACAATATGCAGTATAAGATCCATTGTCGAACTCCTACTATCTTGTATGGTGAAGCTCTGCATCATTTCTAATGTTTTTTAAAAATTTTTATTACTTGTTACTGTCTTTGATTGTTTGATCAATCTTATATTCTTACATCTGGTGGACTGAGCAACTTCGTTGAAGATAACAGTATGTAATGTAGCAACCATTGCTAATTCCTATCATTTTGTTTTGAGGTCATGTTTCATTTTTGTTGTTTTTCTGTTGTTTTGATTTTGTCTTCATTATTGCTTTACTAGTTTTTTTTAATCTTTAAAATAAAAAAATTAAAACATAAAAAGGGCCGGAGAGATAGCTCAGTATAAAGGCACTGCAAAATAAGAAATTTTTTTGCAAAATAAATTTTAAGAGTTAAATTAAAATAAATACATAAGAAATGAAAGGCAGGGTGGGGCCCAGGCCAGCTGTGGGCCGATGTTCTAGCTTTTCTGGAAGGCTTCACTCAGAGCCCAAGGGGAGAGCCTGAGGTGCCCACCCAGGGTCCCCTGAGCTCACCTGTCCATCCTTGTACCAGCTGATGGCGGGCGGGGGGGAGCCCCAGCACTCACACTCCAGGGTCAAGGTGCTGTTGACCTTGGTCTTCACCTCCTTCACCCCCAGCTCCCCTGCGGGGTCGTCTTTGGAGATGGAAGGGGGGACTGAAAAGATCACAGAGGGTCTGAGGAGCCCCAAGGGAGGAGGAACGGGGGTCCCGAGGGAGGAGGAACAGGGGTCCTGGATGCCACCTGCTCCGACTCCACTTAGAGGACAAGGCCTTTGTCTGCGATGGCTGCAGACAGGGCGGGTCTGAACCAGGGCCTTCTGGGGTGACCTCTGGAGGCCGTTCTTGGGGTCCGGGTCTCAAGCTGAGGCCCCTCTGGCTGTAGAAGGACACCAGGCCGGGGGGCTGGGAGTCCACGAAGGCCGAGTCCTAACACCTCCCAACTCTGGGCAGCCTTGGGGCTGCAGAGGGAAGACGGAGCATGCGCAGCCGCCCAGCGGCGTCGGAGGAGCCGGAGGGCGCCCCGGGGGGCCCCGTGTGGCCGCCGCCCCGAGGCCCCGACTCACTGAGTACTTCCACGTGGTAGTTCTTCGTGGCCTCCCCCAGGTCGTTGGTGACCACGCAGGTGTACTGGCCCGCGTCCTCCCTCTGGGCATTCAAGATCTGCAGCCCGCGGGTGCCTGCTCGGGACCAGCGCCACAGCCGCCGTGAGCTCCGCTGAGCCAGCCTGACGCGTGTCACCCGTGCCCTGCGGCCCCCGCCCAGGGGACGTCACCTGGGAGCAGCTGGATGTTCCTGGAAGCCTCAAAAGGGACCCCGTCCTTCATCCAGGTGATGTTGGGGGCAGGGAAGGCCAGCGCCTCGCAGATCAGAGAGATGGGGTTGTTGATGGTCACGATCACCTCCTCATCAGCAGCGTCCTCGGTCGCCCCCAGGATGGTGGGCAGCACTGTGGGCGGGCAGGAGGGCACTCTGGGCACAGACCCCCAGCCCCAACTGAGGGCCGGGGCGGCTTCAAGCCCAGCTGCTTCACCTCGTGCTGCAGCTGCGTGCCTCACACCGATGGGAAACTGAGGCTCAGAGGAATCCATGCCCGGTGTGGCCAGACCTGAATTCAGGGCCGGCTGCCCAGAGCCCAAGCCTCCCACTGCTGGTCAGTGCACAAAGGAAAGACGGATAACTTCCACCTCGGTGTCCCCAATAGCTTTTCAACATCTCAGCACCTAGCATATCTAGTAATTTAACACAGTCCTCTGTTCTGCTCGTGTTTCCAGTTTGTACCCCTCCCTGAGTTGGGGGAAGGCCTGGGGGTGCTTTTTCCCTGCTGGTTGGAGTAGCCCTGCTTGTACTGGTTGAAAAGTTTCCTCTTGCAGCCCCTGCCTGCGACTCTGCCTGTCACACCCGGCATTTTTAGAAGCACACGTCACCGAGCCAGCCTGTGCCTTCTCACTTGGTCCATCTTCGGTGTCTCCTGGTGAAGGAGACGGCGTGTGGCACCTCGCCCTTGGGGGACGGATGCCCTGGGTGTGAGCCACGTCACCACACTAAGCCTTAGAGCTTCAGCGACGCGGGGACAGACTCCTCCACCACCTCCCAGGCGCGTCATGAAGGTTTAGCCAAATGCCTCACTGCAGCCACCAATGCTATCATTGCTATCGGTATCACTAAGGAGCGGGTCACCTCCTACCGGCACCCGGGGTGGCCAGGGGACACTCAAAGCTCACCCAGCACGCTGAGCTGGAAGTGTTTGGTCTTCTCCCCCAAGGCGTTGCTGGCAATGCAGGAGTAGTGGCCGGCATGGGACAGGTTGGCCTGGGGGACCCACAGGTGGGCTCCGTCTGGGGAGATGTGGTGGGCGTCTCCGCCAGCCAGGGGCCGGCCGTCTTTGAACCAGGTGATGTTGGGCTGTGGGTGGCCTGAGGCAGAGAGATCGGAGGTCAGAGGCTGCTCACAGCCAGGACGGGGGTGTGTTAGAGGCCCAGGAAGCACAGCAGGAACACGGTGACAGCGGGCCTGCCCTGGCCCCTTCCCCGGGCTTTGCCCGCCTTTCCTTGCTGGGGGGTGGAGATGGTTTGGTCCAGACAGGCAAGACCGAGCTTCGAGATGCTCCTGTCATCCTCTCATCCACTCATTCATCCGCTCTTCTGTCCACCACCCATCTATCCACCGATTCGCCGTCCGTCTGTCCATCCATCCATCCACCCATCCCCCATCTTCCTAGTCCCTTACCTGCCTATCCATCTATCCAATCAACCATCTACCCGTCTATCCATCATCCGTTCATCATCCATCTATCCATCCATCCACCCACCCCCATCTTCCTAGTCCCTTACCTGCCTTTCCATCTATCCAATCTACCACCTACTGGCTGTGCATCTGTCCATCTTCCTCCCCATTTTCCTCCCCACTTACCTGCCTGTTCATCTATTCATCCAACTATCTACCCACTTATCCCTCTATCCCTTCACCCATCTATCATCCACTCATCAAACACACACACATCCATCTTCCCACCCACTTGCCTGCCTATCCATCTTTCTAGCCAGTTATCTGACTGTCCATGTATCTATTCTCCTGTTTCACCATCCACCCATCTTTCTACTCACTTCCCTGCCTATCCGCCTATCCAATCAACCATCTACCTGTCTATCCGTCATCCATCCATCCATCAGCCGTCCATCCATCCTTCATCCCACAAGCATTAATGGCAGCCTGCTCTTCTGGGCACAGGGGAAACCATGGAGACAAGAAGTTGGTTCCTCGAGGCTCTCGCCTGTCATCAGGCCACGTCCCATTAGCTGGTGCTGGGCAGGAAGCCTGGCATCAGGGCCGGCTGAAGACTCGGTGGAGGCCCTTGAGGCCGGGAGGCGCAGTCGGCAGGGGTGGGCAGAACATCAGGGAGGGGGCGGGCCTGCACAGAGATGTCCCAGGGCGCCCGGGGAGCAGCGTGGCCCTTACCTGTGGCATTGCAGGTCAGCTGGGCGGTCTGTCCCTCGGGCACCCTGGTCACCTCCTCCAAGCCCTCACTCTCTATAGTGGGGGGAACTAGGAGAAGAGAGGAGATGTCCACTACCACCAGGGCCGGCACTCGGGTACACAACCACGGAGCAGGAAGCCAAGAGCCCAGGGCTCCTCTTCGGTGCCGTGGGCCCAGTGCCCATGCTCTGGCGCCTGCTTCCACAGAGCAGTGGGTGTACTGGACATTTCCTGCTGGCTGAGGGAGATCTCAGTGCCGCTCAGACAAGCCCTTGAAGATAGTCGCCCCCTCCCACTGTGTGTGGGTCCTGCTGCTTCTGGAAAGTTCCACCGTGGCCTCCTCAGAGCAGAGGTTTTGGATAAAGCCAAGGTGGCAAGGCTTGGCCTCTCCCTTCCCCTGCCTGGGCCGGGAAGCTCCCAGGAAAGAGGCAAAGGATTCCGGGGCCCCCACGGGGACGGGCTACCACATACCCAGGACGTCCACACTGAAGTTCCTCCGCGCCTCCCCGGCCTCGTTGCTGGCCAGGCACGAGTAGAGACCTCGGTCCTGCTCCTGAGCCTGGGTCACCCTCAGCATCCAGCCGCCTAGGGACGGAGGGTGTGGGCCTCAGTTTCCTACCTGTTTACCAGTGGGAACCATCACAGATCAAGCTGGTGGGGAAGATGAATAGCAGAGGAGGAGACGCTTAGACCGGTATTTCCTAAAGCCTGCTACTCTGCTGTGGGGAGTCCCTCCAGAGAACCACTCTTGGCGGCAGGACTTATCAGAACCTTTTTTTGTGAAAATGTTCACCGTGGGTGTTATGGTTGATACATTGTGTCAACTTGGGGAGTCTAGAGGTTTGGCTAAGTGACTCAGCAGGAAGCCAGGGTGCTTACTTTGTATACATCCTGAGCCTGTGGAAGAGGAGGGCATGGAGATTATGTGAGAGCTACGCGCCCCTTAGGTGGGGGTAGTCTGTTTACGATGTAAGGCAAGAAAGAAGCTGCTTGCCGCCATTCCTCCGGTTTGCTCTGGCTGTTTGTTGCTCGGCTGCCATTCCCCCCTTTGCTCTTGTTGCTTTGCTACCTTCTGCCTTGGAGCCAGCCAAGTATGGACTAAAACCTCCACAAACTGTAAGCTAAATAAACCTTTCCTTCCTTCATTTTGGGTGCTGGGTATTTTGTCTCAGCAACGAGAGAAAAGTAACCAAGACAGTGGGTCAGCAGCAGGGCAGCAGAGCAGGAACTTACATCTCCCCACCACAGGGGCAGCTCCCCTGACCCGTGTTATGGGGCTCGGGGTCAGAGGTTATGATCATGTCACCGACAGAGAGAGTCAGACCGGATTCTCAGAACACAACCTGGCTGATAGCGTACCCGCCAACAGGTAGGCATCCTCCCGGGGCCGGATGGGCTCCTCCTCTCGGAACCAGCGCACTTCGGGGGGCGGGACCCCTGTGGCTTCGCAGAGCAGAGTCAAGGGGCCGTGCAAAGCAGCAGTGACGTTGGTCAGAGAGTCCTCGCCTCCCGCGAGCACTGGAGGCACTGAGTGGGGGCGGGGCCGTCAGGACCCCGCCCTCCCCAAGCCACGCCCCAGTGGGCGGGGCCTGTTCCTAGCTTTGGGGGCTGGGCGAGCACCGAGTTTCTGGGATGCCAGGCCTGATAGAGAGGGTGACGTCCCTAAACCGACCACCACCTCCCCCGCCCAGCCCAGGAAAACAGGAGGCGCTCAGCAGGGGATGGGAGTTCGCGGGGCTCCAGCCGCGCCCCTGGCCCCCCAACTCCCACTCAGCCTTCCCGCATCTGCACTGGGGCCACCTCCTCCGGTGGGGCCTGACCTCCCACCGGAACCCGCAGCGGCTCCCTAGTCTCTGGGCCCTGAGTTCTCCAGCACGTCCCCCGCACCATTGGGGCGCAGCCGGGAGCGGAGCAGCAGCCGCAGGAAAGGATCTGGCGCCCCCAGCGGCCCCTGCGGAGACCTGACCGCAGCAAGCGCCAGGCCGGGAGCGGGGCCCAGGGTGCCGCCCAGCCTCACCCAGCACGGACAGCGCGAACCTCCGCTCGGCGCGCCCCGCCGCGTTCTCGGCCACGCAGCTGTACCGTCCCGCGTGGGCGACCCGCGCCCGCTGCACCTGCAGGCTCCGGCCCTGGTTCCGCAGCCACAGGTCGGGCTCGGCCCCCACGGGCCGCCCGTCCCGCTCCCAGGTCACCGCCGGCGGTGGCCTCCCCGTAGCGTTGCAGTCCAGAGTAGCCTCCCCGCCCTGCAGCACCGACACGTGCGTGAGGGGCTCCCGGGGGCCGGCGATCTGGGGGGGAGCTGAGCGGGGAATGCACATCAGGGGAGGCGCCGGGCCTCCCGGCACATCCGTGGGCGCAACCCCGCTTGGGCCCGCGATGTCCTCGCGTGCACTGGCTGTGTGACTTCGGCCAGGTCGCCTGGTCTGTCCGGGCCCTTCCCCTCCCACTGCAGGGTGGGAACCCTGCCACGCCTCCCCCGGGTCCTGAGGGCCGTGCGCTGCTGAGGGGTGCCCAGCTCCCGGCCCCCCGCGCGCACTGGGCGCGGCTCACCGTGCACCACCAGCCGCTGTTCCTGGCTGCTGTTTCCGGCCGCGTTGCTGCACTCGCACGTGTACGTCCCCTCCTGTGCTGGCTGTGCCCGTCCCAGGTACAGCAGCCGGCCCACCGCCGACACCTGCTCTCCGGCAGGCCCCTCCCCCGGCAGCGGCTGACCTGTGGCAGTGAGAGAGAAGCCCCCATCCAGGGCATGGCAGGGACCCTTTGTCCTCCCACCCATCTATCCCACTCCTGCTCATCCTGCGGGAGCCCAGGAAGCCTTCCCTGAAGACAGAGCCGGTCCCACCAACCCACGGCCCACACCTCTGCCCATCACAGACCCACCTGCAGGGGAGGGGGCGAGCCCTGGGTGCTGGGTTAAAGCCCCTGCTCTGGCTTTTCAAGGTGCCAGAAGCTCACTCCTGCCCCGGAGTCCCCCGCCTTGGTGACAGCTGCTGCACCCTCCTGCCAGTCCTCCCCCTCCCCTCAGCCCCCCAAACAACTGTCCTGAAGTCTGACCAGCACCCCCTTCCACACCCAGGCTCTGGCCACCTCTTGTCACCTTGTGGTCCCTGGGTCTGGGTGGCCAGCACTGTTGCCTTGCACTGCCCTGCTCCTGAGGGTCAGTCCCTGGCACAGTCAGCAGGCTGGCCCTGTCTGCTCCTGTCCAGAGCCCTGCAGTGCCCACTCCCTGGTAGGGTAAAAGCCAACATCCTCTGACAATCCTCAGTCCAGCTCCACTGTGCTGGTGACCATCGCCTGCTTCTGTCCCCCTTGCTGGCTCCACTCCAGCCCCCTGGCCTCGCTCCGGAAACATGGGTGGTTCATTCCTGCCCCAGGGCCTTTGCATCCACCACTACCACTGCCTAAATGACTTCCTCTGCAGTATTCTCAGCCTGCTCTCTTCCCTTCCTCAAGTCTGCTTGCTCTAGTGTCCCTGCCACCTGACTGACGCCCACCTGTCCTGCACATTTGTCCCTCCCCGGCCTCTCTGTCACCACAGTGCTCCTCACCTAAGTTACCAGGTCACCTGCTCACTTTTCATCGCCCGACCTCCCCAACCCTGGCAGGTGGGGATGGGTCTGTTTTGTCCTCTGCGGTGTTCCCAGGACTTAGAGCAGGGCCTGGCACAGACAGGCCGTTGGTAAACGTGAGTGGAACGAGTGGCAGGGTGGCCTGAGTACCTACTGAACCTGGCACCGGACCTGGAATTTAGCAGTGGCCAAGGCAGTGGGCCTCACTGACCACAGAGGAGCGGGACAGAGGGGCCAGGTGGGTGCCGGGACACAGGGCCACGCAGGGCTCCGTGTCCCAGCCTGCGGGTCAGGGAGGGCTTCCTGGCAGAAGGGACGTCTGAATGCGGCCAGAAGCCGCCTGTGTGCAGAGCAGCCCTGTGCTGGACACAGTGGGGACAGCCATCCTACCGTCCTTGCTCCAGGCGACCTTGGGGAAGGGCACGCCTCGGCACTCGCAGGACAGCCTGGCGGGCTGCCCCTCGGTCACAGCCAGGGTGCGGGGCTCCCTCCAGGGGAACGCTGGAGCCACTGAGGCAGAGCAGGGAAGGGTGAGCCAGAGGCTGGAGGGGGAGGGGAGTGCAGGGCAGCCCCCTCCCCCCCGCTGGGACCCGGGACCGGGCCTGCCGTGTGGGGCTGCCTCACCCCAGACGTTCACGTCGAAGTGCTTCTCGGAGCGGCCAGCGTGGTTCAGAGCCTCGCAGGTGTAGCGGCCGGTGTCCCCCACCTCCGCCCTGGACACCTGCCCAGGGCAGAGATGCCCGTCAGCAGGGGAAGCCTAGACGGATGCCGCCTGCCCTCGCTGCAGTCCATGTGACCTCAGCTGTGTCACGTGACCTTGTTGAGCCCCAGGCTTCCTCCTGGAACCCCTAGTTCCGAGGTACCTGGAACAGCCCCCTTGATGGCCACCCGGCCAACTCCCCCTCACCCCCACATCCCAGGCCTGCTAATGCGGACGGCACATGGGGTCATGGTAAGGAAGCAACAGGAGCGGAAAGCAGGGGTGTCAGACTTGGACGTGACCCTATCAGAAGGCGTAGGGGCGGGCAAGGAGGAGGGCCCAGGCAGAAGTTCCAAGGGTCCATTCCTGGGCTGTGTCCCCGTCTCCTGCGGGAGGGCTCGCTGGTCACACTGAGGTGGCCGGATGCACACGGGGTGCCGGGCACCAAAAGTCCTGCTGTGCCAGGGCAGCTCCGCTGTGGTGAAGGCCTGGTCAGTGCTGGGTGGCCACTCACCTCCAGCAGGGCCTTGTCCTCGGAGAGACGGACGCTGGGCCGCAGCTGCAGGGGCCTCCCGTCCTTCCACCAGCTCAGCTCGGGAGCGGGCACAGCATGGCTGCGGCACTCCAGGGTCACAGACTCGTTGGCCAGGACAGAGATGGTCAGCTCTTCACCGAGGATGCTGGGGGGCACTGTGGGAGGGTGGGAAGGGACCCCAGGTGCCTGCTGGAACTGGCGGGACGGACCACCAGCGTTGGGCTGGCCACTCCCAGCAACCCAGGTGGACACAGGGATGGAAGTCACTGCTGGGGTGGGGCCACCCAAGCCTCTTCTTCCCCGCCTGCCGCGGGGTCCTGAATAGGAAGGAGGGCCCTTACGCCCCCGTGCGGGCAACTGTGGCACTGCCGCACTCTGAGGGGAGGGGGAGGACTGCCAGGGAGCCCCAGGATGTCCCCGCGAGGGGACAGAGGACAGGCAGCTCAGGTCCTCTCCACATTACTTGTTACAACTGCACCTAAATCTACAATGTCCAGAATGACATCCAAAATTTAAAATAATATTCTAATTTTTAAAAATTGTAGCCAGACATGGAACATGGTTACAATCCCAGCACTGGGGAGGCGAAGGCAGGAAAAGTTCCACAAATTTGAGGCCAGCCTGGGCTCCACAGTGAGTTCAAGGCCAGCCTGGACTATGTCATGAGAGCCTGCCTGAAACAACCGCAAAACTACAACAATGAAAACCCCCAGAGCAGGCCCCGACCACCCTGCTCCCTAAGACAAAAACGACCAGTAGGGCCTGGCGACTTAGAACACAAGGTCTGAGCAGACTTGGGGCGGCAGGCTTGGGCTCCATCACTTGCTCCCCGGGAGCCCTGGAGACATTCTCTGCCACCCTGGGCCTCCGGTTCCTCATCCATGAAATAAAAGTCTCCCCTATGCGACAGTCACCATAGCAACACAGGTGGAGGGGACGGCACAGGGTGCCGTCACCTCTGATCCTGACCCCACGAGGAGAGAGCTGGGGCTGAACGCCTCCCGCTCCCCACCAGGACTGCACTTCCGGAGTCCTCACTTGTACCTCTGTGGGCCCCACAGGAAGAAAGTGGAAGGCAAACTCCCTGTCACCAGGTACTCCACGCACCCCCACGACACCCTTCAAGGGGGGTGTCATGGTGTGTGCCTGGATGTCCCCTCAAAGCCTATGGCAGTCATGGGGGCTTCTAGAGCTTAGGATTGATTCATGGGTGTGAGCGCTACTGCTCCTCCCTTTTTGCTCTTGTTGTTGCTTTTGCTGTCTGGGGCCGCCTTGAAGTGTTGCCTGTGTCCTGCCACCCTGCCTGGGAGCCAGCTGATTATTGACTGAAACCTCCACAAACTGTGAGCTGAATAAACCTTTCCTTCCCTAATTCTGGGCATCAGGTGTTTTGTCTCAGCAATGAGAGAGAAAAGTAACCAAGACAGAATTTGGTACCAGAGAAGTGGGGCCGCTCCTGTGACTGTACCTGGCCATGTGGTTCAAGAGCCTTTGGAATGGCTTGTGGGAAGAGTTTGGAAAGGTTCAGAGATTTCGCCTGAAAGAGAAGCGCTAGAATGCCTTTGGCTGTTCTCTCTGGGAGATTCGGGTCAGAGCTCAGAAGACCAGAAGGCTGATAGAAATCCTGCCACTAAAGACCAGGCTCTGGAGGTTTCTGCTGGGAAGAAGTACTGCATTGGCTGCTGGACTCCAGATGATATATGTCATGGCTTGGCAGAAAGTTTGTCTGCATTTTGCTCCTGTCCAGAGACTTTGCCTAAGACTGAGATTAGGGGCAGTGGACTACTTAGTCTGGTAGAAGAAATTTCAAGGCAGTTCACTGTTGGGGCAGTGGCATGGCTATTGTTGGGGGCTTTTAGCCAGATTTATGTTGCAAATCAAAAACAAAGAGCCCAGCAGGATGATTTAAAATGTTGTGAGTTTGGCCAGGAAAGAAGCTCCAGTAAAGCTATGGACTGGAAAGATAGAGCTGAGGAGATCTCCACTGCTGAGAAGGAACAGGAGAATATAAAAGACAGCCTGAGGGCATCATAAAACACAGCAAGTTTCCACCCTTTGCAGCTTCAAACCTGCAAAGGTGGAAGACTGCTTTGAGAAGAAAGCCGCAGAGTGCCATGTTCCAGAATGGTGGCAGCATAGAGAATTTGCTCCTCAGAATTGGATTCAGAGTGCCCAGCGATCCAGGCACTTAACCCCTACGGCTAAGAGAGAGGAAAGCCTGCCTACTGCTCCAGCTGGCAGCAGATCTTGGCATCATCCACGTGGCGCTGGTTTTAGGCACAAGCAGAATGTAAGAGTTCAGAGGTTAAGAAGGCTTCCACCTTGATTTCAGAAGCCCTGGGAAGCCAGGAAGTGTGCCCCTGAGAGGGCAATGTGTGAAGCTGTGAGTGTGAGCCAAAGTGTAGTGGAGACCTCAAAAGGTTGGAAAAGCCAAGAAC